GACAACTAAACAGATCAGACTAAATGGACAGAAATATACTACTATGTATTACGATTTTTAGTTGTAAAATAGACTAAGCTAGTCAGAGAACACCTTGTTTTGGTTATTCTTTCGCAGATAGTTTCTTGCTATTTAAATTTAAACCAAATTCCATAACGATATATTTAATAGCTTAAAAATATAAATTTGCAAGAAAATAAACAAAGTATTTTTGGGGGGAAATGTTGGTCTTGATTTAGTTTTATTCTGATAAAAAATCCACCCCTAAATTCGTTGTACTTACTATTGGCACACTTTGTATTTATAAAATTAATACAGACTTTGTATTTGCTTTAACTCATATTATTTGTTGTAAGTTATCTTTAGATAAACACATGCTAATTATTTGTTAGGACGTAGTCTCATAGTAACTTATTCCTGTGTTAACATTAACTGATTATTATTATTTTTTATATATTCTATCGAATATTTAAGTTGTATCATTTGGATGTGTACAATGTGACTGCCAACCTTACAACTTGCCCCTGACATGAAACTGTAAAACACCCAGTAATTGCCATGGCCAAATGTTCTACATTTGCGTAAGCATAATAAATTATCAATCATAAACAAATTAACGTTGACGGGCGGCCATTTTAGATTCGAACCTACGGCATGTAACAGTTTCAGCTAAAGTATTGGGTTCATCTGATGTTTCGACACATTCAAAAATTTAACAGAAAACTAAAATCTTGGGAAAATTCTACCCTTTGTCGATATATATACTTTGTTTAAACGAAATATAGTTTTTCCAAGTAAAAATGTCTTTATAGTCATATTGTAGCACAGGATTGTCATTAATGTCCACAGTAAAAACATAAATGAAGCTGAACAAGTAGAAAAATGTTATATTACACACATTTCTTAGTCATTTAAAAATTAACAGTCACTTAAGGCAAAGTTATTCTATTTTGTTACCGGTTTATACTGGGGGTTTTACGCAACTTAATTAATTACAACTACTGCTTTGAGACCAGCTTATATGATGTCATTCCTGTTCTCTTTACTTCATTGCCGATCAGCTGATATGAATTATCTATGAGTGTTACTCTTATTCATAATTTATCGTAAATAAGACTCAAAATGTTTTTCGTAAGCTCGTGTAGAGTACCAACCTATTGTTAGGTCTAGGTTTTTTTTTGTTTTCCGCATGTCCGGTTGCCTTAAATCTTAACAATTCTATCAATAGTAGATTTTTAAGTACTCGAATCACACATAGGAACTTAAGATTCATTTTCAATGTACAATACATACTTTTTGGGCTTGCAAAAACATAATTTTGAATCTTATTTACAATAGATTTCCAAAAACACTAAAGCTAATGGATAACTATGCAACAGTGCATGTCAACGTTCGGCAAAGAAGTAAAGAATACAAGGATACTAAAATGTGAGCTTGTTTTATCGTTAAAAAGTAGCTTACGGTACTTGTTACTTAAGTTGCGTTAAACAAACATGTAGATGGACGTATATTAGGGCGTATTGGAAGTCAACATTTTAATTCTTCTAAAAGATGCGCGACGCATTTAGACTGATTTCAAGTTACCAGTTGATTTTGTTTGAATAAAAACGTAGGTTAGATTTTACTCGTCAATTAACAAAAACATTCTGATATCGTTCCTTAACCATTAGTTATTTGTGCAACTAGTGAGAAAAGTGACCAATTGACTCACTCGAGAGAAATCCTTACTCACGAGCCGTAGGCGAGTGAGGAATGGTTTCTCGAGTGAGGCAATTGTACTTTGAACTCGAGTTGCACATTATACTTTTCCTACAGTTACCATAAAACAAAAACATTTGTGAAGAAACATGAAGAAACATAACCTATTTTTACACAGAAGTGAACTTTTAATATAACATTTAATGTGAAGTGACAAATACAACAGTACAACAGCTGACCAGCTGATTTACAGCCAGTGCTGCCAACGTATTTCGCGCGCATACGACGTTGCCTGCATGTTACGCGCTCACTATTTCGTGCCTTCACGTTGCAAATCTGGAGTGAGACAAAGTAATTAGAGTGAGACAATGTTAACATTGTCTCACTGGTGAGCGAATTGGCCACTTTGCTTTCTCAAATCAGTGAGAGAACATGTACATTGTTAGGTAACTGTAGGAAAAAAATATTAGCAATGATATTTTCCTACAGTTACCTAACAATGTACATGTTCTCTCACTGATTTGAGAAAGCAAAGTGGCCAATTCGCTCATCAGTGGGACAATGTTAACATTGTCTCACTCTAATTACTTTGTCTCACTCCAGATTTGCAACGTGAAGGCACGAAATAGTGAGCGCGTAACATGCAGGCAACGTCGTATGCGCGCGAAATACGTTGGCAGCACTGGCTGTAAATCAGCTGGTCAGCTGTTGTACTGTTGTATTTGTCGCTTCACATTAAATTTTATATTAAAAGTTCACTTCTGTGTAAAAATAGGTTATGTTTCTTCACAAATTTATTTGTTTTATGGTAACTGTAGGAAAAGTATAATGTGCAACTCGAGTTCAAAGTACAATTGCCTCACTCGAGAAACCATTCCTCACTCGCCTACGGCTCGTGAGTAAGGATTTCTCTCGAGTGAGTCAATTGCTCACTTTTCTCACTAGTTGCACAAATAACTATATAGTCCACCAGCTGATTGGGGCCGATGACGTCACAATGATGAACGATGATCACGTGATAATATTATTACTCAGTTTAAAGATTCTACAAGTGTCGGCCTGGAAATATTTGACAAGAGGTTAACTCAAAGGTGCATTGTCACTGGTTGAGGCTGGAACTGCAGTCGTTGGATGATAATCGTAGAGCGACTACTCAAGGCCCCACTAGAAAAACAGGCCATGCTGCAGGATCCATGACGGCACACTAGATATATTTGTTGATGGATTCATTGCAATACCCCATATAGGTAAATAAGCTGGCTGTTTGTCAGATTTTAATTGTAAGATTTGAGTACAACAATCCACCACTGTGACGTAGTGCTGCACTGCAGCATGGTCTGTTTTTTTCAGTGGAGCCTTGGCCTGCTTTGCATTGTTTTCAATGGCACCGTTGGCACTGACCGCAGTCGTAGACGTCGCAGTCGTTGGGCGATTTTTGAGGCGTTCGCAGAATTTTCTGGAGAAAGTGCACGTGTCTTTCTGTAAAGTCATCCAAGACGACTGAAAGTCTTTACGCTCGCAACGAGTATAAATAAACTATCTTAACTTAACGTAAAAGCAAACTTCTCATCTCCAGTCATTGGAGAGGACATAGTTTGGAGAAGTCTTCTTAAGATCGTCATTGACCAAACTAGACAAAAACTGACAGTTTGAAAGTCTGAAGAACTCAGTAACTAAGAAAACATTCTTTTATCACCTTGCAAATTATTGTTTATTAATATTTTGAAGTACCTCTTCTGTTCATTTTGTAATTATTCTATGTTTGCTAAGTCGTGGAACACTTATCATTTTCAAAATGTCTTCATCTTCTTGATCTTCAACTAAAAAATAACCGAATAGCCTTTTAAACTCATAATTTATTATCACTACTTTACTCAACAGTCAAGAAGCAACTGAACGATTGTATAATAATCGCACCAGTGACAATGCCTGCTGCAACGATTATTGCCGAGCTAATCGTCCAACGACTACAGTTCCATCCGCACCTGGAGTTATTTTATATAACTTGATTTCGTTTGATGGGGAAAATGCTAAACAAAATTGTTTTAGACAGTCGTTTATCAAATCAGCTATATTTTACTAATTTAAGTTTAAAAACATAAAATAGCCGCTATTTTTTTAAAATTTTGAATCAAGTTATGTTATTCACATTACTTCAGGTTAGACCTAGGGGTTACGGAATTATCACTTAGATAAAATCATTATAAAATCCATTGGTGATTTGGCAGGATTTGAACCCGGGACCCCAGGAACCGGAGTCCCGCGCTCCAACCACTAGACCAGTTCGCTCCAACATCTAGTCTCTTCTACCTTAACGTACATACCAAGTGTATCATAAAGTTCTGTTATATTGATTTAAAGATAAAAATATTTATGTAAATCCAAAATTGTGGATATCTGGTTAACGAAACGATTTTGGAAAAAGGTTTTATTCTTGATTTTCTCTTTATTTTGACCCGAGGAACCACAACGTAAATTATGTCTTCACCTTTGAACACCCTGTATACTGTAATATATACCCCTTTCCGCAACAAACTTGCTCATTTAGGACATTTCAATTCGCCTGTTTGGATTTCCACATTTAATACCGTATATTTTGCTGCATATACAGTAATACAATTACAATGTTTGTAGGTTTGAAACTATATTGATAACTTTTAGTTTACAGTTTAAATTGCTTAACAAGTCTTTCGATTGTGCCTTTAAATCTATTGGGTGTGAATACTGCAGTAAGTTCGAGGCTATAATTACCAATCTATTGTTATTTCTAAATCCAATCACCTGTGTCTCATGCGTGGATGCGTTCGAGTGCTCTTATGATGGAAAAATATTAACTTTTATAAGTCGCATTTGACTTAATCTGTTAGTATATTGAATTGTGTTTTGCCACCCAAACTGCTTAAATTAAACCAAAGGTAATATTTCAAAACTAAGTTGTAGGCAGTTGACTTTTGTTTTTGAAATTAATGGTTATTTGTTTATCTTTTTTCCTAGAATCATTTTGTTTTATTCAAATAGTATAAAATTATTTCTACCATAAATAATACAAAAAACTTCATAAATATATTACTTTAAATAAAAAGTATCGCAAAAATACTACCAACAAAAAGTCGTGTTGTGGAAAAATAATATATATTTTATTTTGACTCATAAAACATATTCCTATTTTTTTCTACATGTGTATTTTTTTAAATATTTTAAATTTTTACAGTTGAAAAACTTAACTTGTAATATTGGTGTAGGTTTGATAAAATATGAAGCTGTAACGTTGAATAATGACTCAAATGTACTTAATCGCCAGATGTTGAGCAAAAGCAGCAGTCATTTCGACTTCAGCTGTACGATGCACGTCATCAAACTATCGCTCCTGCTCTGCTCAATTGCTGTAAGTTTATATTATTTTTTAAATTTATATATTTACAAGGTCAAATTTCTCATCTCCACAACCTTTACGAATAATTAGGCTAATTATGGTTGTAGAACTTTATATAAATTTAACAATCGTCTTCACATAAATAGAGTTAACTTATTCGAGATTCGCAATATAAAGATTAGAAGCTGTTAGTTATATCAATTTATATTGCACTGTAACAAATTTTAAATTTCAGACTTTGTTGCTTAAGGTTTTTTAAATTAGACTAGAAAAACTATCGCCAAGAACATGAAACTCCATCAAAGGATCATAGATTATGAGTCTTTGCTCGAAAACCCTTTTTCCGTTTAAATAATGAGATTAACGATTCTTACAATACAAATTTTTAATACAAACACAATCGTACATTTTTCTACCCGTAGTATTACTTTGATTTAATCAAACTTTTTAAAGATGAGACTTTGGCAAATATACCAGTTTTAGATCACAAGATCAATTCAATAATGAAGAGGTTTGGTATTGATAAAACGAATTTAAATACCTATATACATTGTATATTTGGTGTCTTGAAAGTAAGAATTGGCTTGAGACTTGAGCATCACGGTCCAGAAACGCTATTTAAATTTTAAAGAATTTCAGATCATTTAAACAAGGTTTTGCACATAAGTACCTATAGTTAGAGCAATTTCACTTTTGTATAAAATGTGTTTTTCCATCACCAAGAGTCAAATTAAAATTTCCAGGGAAAGCATAGGTCGAGTCATACATCAAATTAACTGTCTCTATTAGCACAACACAGTATACAAAACTCTAATATAAATAAATCATAAATTATGACACAATCTATCGGACTAAATCTGGCAAGGATGTAGAATTCAAGTATACATGTAAGTAAAGAAAAAGGTCAATCCTGGCCAAAACCTAGGCAGTTTGAAATTCTAAGGAATAGCAACTCGGCTTTATAAAAAAATCCACAAATTTGTAATTTTTAACCACCGCCATCTTGGTTAGAATACTGTATACATTTTGAGGCCAAATTTGCAGAAAATGTTTTCATTTGCTCTTATTTAAGATTTTCTTACTAGGCCTACACCTTCAGGACCTTACCCAGCCTACACGATGGAAAATATTATAATTACTTTGGAAAAGTAGATTTTGTAACATGACATTTATAAGCAAAGCATAGCTGCATTTTATGTATTGGCTTATAAAATTAAACGCTTTCCCGTACTTGTTGAGTACTCCATACATTTTTGGAATCCCCCAAAAGTAGTTAATTAAGTAGTTTTAAGAGGTTTATTGTAGTTTATTAAATGTAAGTTTTAATATATTACAAACATTTTAACAACATAACAAAAATACACACATCAAAAACTTAACACGATTAAAGAAACCTTATGTGGATTAAAAATGGTATATCTAGTCCTATTAAAACTATTTATCAGAAATCAGAAAAACTTTATTGCTTCATATATTTATTTACAAAGCTTACACACAGAGTAAAACCAAGAATAACTTAGATTAACTAACTTACACACTTGTGAATTATTTAACGATGGTTCCATCTTTATGAAGCTATATTGTGTTGGTAAATGTTATTTTGATACAAACAATTGGTTTCACTTAAATAATTTCACACGGTTCACTTGTTATTTGAAAAAAAAACTGAGTGCATTTTAGATATTATACACAGGAAAAATCTATCAATTTCAGTGAATTATTTAGTACTTGCTATACTTGATATTTATTGAGATAAAACTGTTAATTCTCAATTAATAGATGAAAAAATAAATAAAAAAACTAAATTAGATCAAATATTAAATAGATCAAACACTATCACATTTTAAAACTGTTGAGAAGTTTTAACAGAGTTTTAACAATAATATTAATGGGGTTTATTGATGTCGCTTTTAATATTTTGAAGATCTGTGCACCCTTCTTTTTTCTTTCTTCTAAAAATACTTATCTTGGATTTTTGCATGGTAGACAAAGTACCTTCACCTTTTTGGTGGCGTTTGGACTCCTCTTGATAATGAAAGAAGGCTCACGCCCCGATGTTTTCAGATATTTGATCTAATAAAGTTATCTTAAAGATTGTAGCAAGTATGCTACTCAAAAAGTTGTTGAGTAAGTTTTGAACAACTTATACGACTGGGATGATGGACACTGATACAAGACACAACTATGATCAATCTTTACAAACGAGAAGTGCTAGGCCAAGTATACCATTGCTTTGGTTGTTAATGTACATAATCCGATACTAAATTTCAATTCAAACAGCAATTTTCTATGAGGGTGAATTTATATTTATATTTAAAAATTTACCAGGGTGAAGAGCTTGCCAACAGGGGCGTCATTTGGAGGGGGGGGGGCAGAGGGGGCATTTGCCCCCTCCCTCCTGGTTCCTGGGCTAGTGAAAAAATATGCTATACTAGGTTATATACAAATATTTTCTCCTGTCAAATCCTAAAAAGCACGGCAGACAAAAATCTTGCTTATTCTTCTACAGTAATTTGGAAAAACTTTTATTTTTTAGTGTCTCAGTAGTAGCACATTGAAATTAATTGTGTCAAATTATTTTACTGATAATAAAATTTGATTTGCTTATTAGTACTTAAATACTTGTTTTAATTAAACAAATTAAACTGTTATAAACTATAGGCTATGAATACAACCGTATTCATTGCTATAGGTCTAAGTGTTGTACAAGTGAATTTGGTCATAAATCTAATAACAAAAATATATTAATACACCATGAAACGATTGATCACGTTTCTTAGATGACTATCTTACCAACATATTACTATGTTTCTGTCTGTTGTCAATAAATTGTTTGTTTAATTAATTTTCTGCAAAAATTTAAATAAATTTTACTCATAATTGTTTTTATTCGAAGTGCTTTTGACAATTAAAATAAGCGTAAACCGCTCTTTTTTGTTTCAAAATTGCAAATTTTCCGGGGGGGAACCCCCGGACAGTGAGTGAGGACAGTAAATCGACCCCGTTTAATGGGGGGTATTCCGTACCCCCCCGTGTTTGCCCCCCCCCCAAGGATTTGGTGAAATGACGCCACTGCTTGCCAAACAGCCAGTGAACTATAATTAATTGCACGATTCTTATATGGTGATCTCGGTCCTAGGTATAGATAGGTCTTACCATGAGAGCAATGGTAACAGCTTAATCTCTATATGTGAAATCTGCTAAAAGGAATTCACACTAATTATTGTAAAACATTTTCAGGTTCTAGCAGGTCAAACTGAGGCCATTAGTTTGAATCCTGTTACTTGGGTCTACAGCTTCCTTCAAAAGTTGGGCTTGTTGGTGAGTAATTTTAAAACTAAAAATAATCAAATACAGGGTTTTTTCGTCATACTGCAGGGAAAACAGCCGTTTTAATACATGTGTTGTGGGTCTCAGGTTGCATTTTTAATCCATAGGGAATAAAAAGGCTTTTAGTCCCTAGGGAGTAAAAGTCAGCTGTTGTTAAACCCAGTTGTAAACTTCCATTGTAAACGATCGAATGTTATTTTTAATCGATCGTAGCTTATTCTTGTCAATAGTTCGAGATATCGGTAGTATAATCAGCTGTTGTTCAACCCAGTTGTAAACTTAGATTGCAAAAGATCGAATGTAATTTTTAATCGACCGTAGCTTATTGTTGCTTATTCTTGTAAATAGTTCGAGATATCGTTAGTATAATACACTCAATATTAAGACAAAAGTTTATGGAATCACTTACTAAAACGCTGCTTATTTTCATTGGCAAAATTGAATACAAGTTGGAAGTTGTTTTGAGTAACTGATGTGCTAATACGCTGTATGTATTCTCCTTCAGGGCCAAAGAATAAAAAAATAATTAAATTTATATTAATAAAATCATATAGCAGAGAAAAAATGGAAGTAAAGAGAAGTATTTTAAAGCATAATGATCACCAAATATTAAACCTGAAATTACCTATGTGTATTTATTATAGTAATGAACTAACCGTTAACAAAAGGGATGCAATTAGAAAATGAATTATAATGTAACCAAATGAATTCTACTTTTCGGTTTCAATACGTCAAATGTTATAGAATCACGCCTGAATTCATAATTAATTTGTAGTTTAACTTTGGATTATGTTTATTTAGTTCTTCATGCTTATCCAATTATATAGTTTAGTTGTCTTATAAACTATTTATAAAATATATTCATGAAAAGTGGTGGAAGACATTATTCAGGGTTTCAAAAAGTTTGGGACATAATTTACGATGATTCCTTTGGTCAAAATAAACAAAATGTGTATATAAACTATGTCCCATCTCGTGCCGATTTCCATCTGTATGTATGTGTTGTTTACAAAAATATTTGAGCTGCAGCTTTCTGAACACCATGTGTAAGCTCTCTAGACATTCTTAGATGCTCATCATTTCCTTAAATAAATGAATTGGTATCTATATAAACGAATATTATGTTGTTTTAGGCACAAACACAACAGTTCAAAACAACAAGAGACGTAAGTAATGATACAAAAGTTACACTAGTTTTAGCGTACCTTTTTGTTAGTTTACTACTATTACATTCAACGATAGAAGGAAGTAATTCGAATTGAGAATGGAGAAATTGTTTAACTTGTTTAATGCAATTTTGTAAACAAACAAGTTAAAATTGATCGTATCAGAAGACATAATGTTGTTAAGCCTTGATTAATAATATTTGTATTTGGAATTGTACAGCAAAAACTTATTTATGAACAAATCTACTAAAACCAAACATTGGAGAAAACTCTATAGATCTTTATAATACGTTGGAGGAGCCTTTAGTTGAAGCACTGACTATTGGATACTGAAGTCTTCCCATCTATATGGACCAGCTGTAGCAATTTTTTTTATTAAAAAAGAACCTAGTTGTGTGAGCCAGTCACAGAATGCTTATAGTGTATAAAATTATATTTTATACCTTATGTTTAGTCGCTGACCAGGTTGATGGGTCATAACAGTTGCTATAACTAATCATAATTCATTCCCTAAGTTAGACTTGGTAAAGAAATTTGTGTATTTGACAGAATTTAGTGATTTAGATCAGCGCAATCTGTAGATGGCTCAAAAGCCTCATAAAAATAACGTAAAGGAGAGTATATTCATAGAAGAAGTTTATTTATTGTTTTCTTTTAAAGCTTTTTGTTAAGAATTTTTTTAAAGAGTTATAATAAATAAAATCCGTCTCCCAACAATATCCGAAAAATTTACACCATACTGTAAATACTTACACGATGGTAAATACATGTTAAACATGTTACAATGGCGGTCTATCTCAACCAAAGGTACTTTATTTTAACTGCTCAACACTTAAGAAAACTCCAAGTCCATTTTGGTCGCTAAACTCTTTCCGGAGCCACAATTCATTATGGAAATGTGAAAGCCCAAAAACTCTACTTAACGAAATTAAGCCAATTAATGAAGCATGTTCTACAATATGGGAGTTGATTTGTACCTAAAGCTTTTATTATTTTTCAGGATGAAGTTGAAGGTTACTCAGCAAGAATGACCGAACTTGCACAGCAATACCCGAACAAGCTCATTATTGTTGAATTCTATGGAGATTTTTGCAGCAAGTGCAAGGATGTGGATAAAGTGCTAGCCGTAAGTGAACAATTCCCTTGCAAACTTCCATAGCTTAGGTGTTTAGTGTTACACCACTACCACATGCTATGTGTTATGAACATATGTAGTTGTTACCATAGCAACCAAAATGTTGATCATCAAATGCTGTTTACTTTTCTATTCTGATTTTTAATATAACACAGTTACTTCTATTTCAACACTCTGTCTTTTTATATTCTAATATTCCACTCGAAAGTCATCTCAGTTGGCGACGATTTGATAAAAAACGATTATCAATTCTTGTTTTATTCTATTATTTTCAAGATAGTTTATTTTGTTAAACATTTCAACTTAAAATGAATGAAGAACAATTTGAAAGACTCATGAATGTTTTGGCTGCAGCTCTAGGTAATAAAACTTCAACTCCTCAGATCAATCCTTTTGAACATTTTGATCCAAATAATGATAAATTCAAATCATATTTAGAACGTTTTGAAAATTATTGCAATTTGAAGAACATTAAAGAAGACAAGATGAAAGCTCAACTCCTGTGCTCATCCATTGGTAAGGAAAATTACAATAATCTGACAACTCTTTTGGGCCCAGACAATCCTGTAAAAGACCTTAATTTTTCAAAATTAATCGAACATTTCACAGTGATGTTGTCACCTACAGTATCTCATATTGTTGCACAACACTATTTCCTCAGTGTTTCACAACAGTTGCATCAATCTATCTCTGATTTTGTCACAGTCCTGAAAGGTAACCTGAATGATTGTAATTTTTACACTTCTTGCAATGAATGTGAAAGTAAAATTTCGATTGCTGACGAATTTCTCCGACCTCAATTTATTAGAGGACTAAAAGACAATTGGATACGTGAACAACTTCTACAAGACACTAATCTCAACAGTTTTGACTCACTCCTCAAGAAAGCAATTACCCTAGAAGCTTCCCGCTATGAATCAAATAAAATTTGTAATCCTGTCACACAATCATTAAGTGAAAATGCAGATACACACAAAATTGATAGGCATTCAAGGTCTAAGACAAAGGAATATCAAAGTTTCAAGCAATTTAAGACTCCCAAATATGATGACCGTGGTTCGAATAGATCTCAATCACAACATTTCCGTAACAAATGCTTAAAAAGACACGTTGACTACAAAGCTTTGGGTATTGATGGACTTTGTTTCAAATGTGGTCGATCAAACCATCAGTCTAATGAATGCAAAATTAATCGGAACAATCTTAAATGCACTTCCTGTGGAAAACAAGGCCACGTATCAAAAGTGTGTATAACGTCTCTACTAAAGAACTCTAAAACAAACACCCTGTTTTCTCACTACACAGAAGATGAATCCAGTCACCCAGATGAGTATGGAATCACACAAATCAACGATGTGGAAGATCTTTACATAGTAGGACCAGAATCAGACAAATACATGGTTACAGTCACTATCAACAACAAGCCTCAAACATTTGAAGTAGACTCTGGTGCACGATTTTCCTTAATCTCAGAAACGGACTTTGATAAACTTGGACTTAAAGTGCCACTTCAACCAAGTCCTATCTCATTTCGCTCCTACTCTGATCATATAATAAAACCTAAAGGTAAAGTAACTGTCTCAGTCTCTTACAATGCAAAATCACTAAATACTGATTTATTTATAGTACCTGCTGGTCATTCTGCTTTGTTAGGACGAATTTGGATTCGTGGACTTGGAATTGAACTCAGTGAGGTAGACAATAGAAAGCAATCACCGATTAATACAGTTGATGTTAATTTAGTACCGTCTCTAGAGGATATATTCGAAAAATACTCAGCAATTTTCGAAGAAAGAATCGGATGTGTTCCCAATGTTGAAGTCAAACTCCACTAGGGAACGTGATGTCCCTTTCGCATTACGAGAGAGAGTAGAAAAGGAACTTATAACCCTTGAGTCTCAAGGAATCATAACTCCAGTCGCATCAAGTGATTGGGGGTCACCATTGGTTATTATCCCAAAGCCAGATGGAGGAGTCAGACTATGCGTAGATTACAAGTGTGGGGTTAATTCAAAACTTGTCTCATCTAACCACCCCATTCGACGCATTGATGATGTCCTACATAGTCTCCGCGGATCAAGATACTTCTGTAAGTTGGATCTTCATAAGGCTTATTTGCATCTAAAAGTCGATGAAGAGGGAAGTAAGATTCAAACAATATCAACCCATAAAGGAATGTTCAACATGAATCGCCTCAGTTTTGGAATAAAAACAGCCCCTTCTGAGTTTAATCGAATTTTGTCACAACTGTTAAACGGATTATCAAAGGTAGAAGCATACTTTGATGATATCATTTGTCACGGTGAAACTCTCGAAGAGTGTATGAAGAACCTTATTGCATGTTTGGAATGTCTCAAGAAGATGATCTACATCTTAACAGAACAAAATGTGTTTTCTTCAAGGAAAGTATTAATTACCTTGGACATGTGGTGTCATTCAATAAGATTCAAAAATGCCCTAAAAAGGTTGAAGCAGTTACTCAGATGCCTCGCCCTCGAAATGTTGATGAGTTAAGACGCTTTCTTGGCTTAGTTACATACTATGCAAAATTCATTCCTGACTTCTCTTCAAAAACACATCTGCTACGATGTTTGCTTCGAAAAGGAGAAAAATTCTTTTGGTCAGCTGCTGCTGAAACCTCATTTCTGAATCTGAAATCTGAACTTTGTAGTGATACAGTGATACAGTTCTTATTCCTTTCGACCCATCAAAACCAGTTATTCTCACAACAGATGCTAGCCCAACTGGAATTGCTGCAATACTCAGTCATGATATCGATGGTCAAGAAAGACCAATTGCATATGCATCCAGAGCATTGACTCAGGCTGAAACTAATTACAGCCAACTTGATAGAGAAGCTCTAGCAATCATCTACGCAGTCACCCATTTTTACAATTACGTTTTTGCTAAAAAATTCACTTTTGTCACCGATAATGAACCATTGTCACATATCTTTCATCCAGGACGTGCCCTGCCACGAATGACATCATCTCGCTTATTGCGTTATTCTTCATTCCTCAGTGGTCTTGACTATACAGTTCGATGCAAGAAAGGGAAAGAAAATGAAAACGTGGATTGTTTGTCTCGAAGCCCAGTTCAATCATCAATTTCATCTGAACTAACATTCGACAAAGAAATAAACACAATCAATGCAGAAACCTTACTTCAAATCTCCAGCACAGTGATAACCGCAGAAACGATCAAAGAAGAAACATCAAAAGACCCTGAGCTTCAAGTTCTTTTGCATGAACTGAAAAATAGTCGCAAAGATAGCCCTTACATGATCTCAGACAACATACTTTTCCGATCAGATCGAGTCGTAATTCCCAAACGTCTTCAAAATCGCATTCTAAATGAGCTCCATGAATCACACCTCGGAATTACTAAAATGAAACAGCTTGCTAGAAGATATGTATATTGGGAAGGTATGGACAAACAAATAGAAAGACTAGTGAAAAGCTGTGAAGCTTGTGCTAAAGTTCGTCACAATCCACCAAAGGCTCCGGTACATCCGTGGGATCAGCCCGATGATAACTGGGAAAGAGTGCATATTGATTATGCCGGTCCATTGGATGGAAATTATTTCCTCATGTGTGTAGATGCAAAATCAAAGTGGGCAGAAGTTCGCATTCTTCGAAATGCTCCTTCCTCAGCAACGACGATGGCACTACTTGAAAACATTTTCTCGGTTCATGGGTACCCCTCGTTCTTAGTCTCGGACAATGCCACTATATTCAAAAGTGAGGAATTTATCAACTACTGTAAAGAACGTGGGATTTTCCAAAAATTTACTGCTCCTAACCATCCTGCAACAAATGGCCTGGCGGAACGAAACATACAAACTTTAAAGAGAAGACCTTTTGCTGCTGCCGATGATCCAACGCCAATTACCACAAAGCTACAATACATTATGTTCAGATATCGAGCAATACCTTTGGCATCAGGCAAGACTCCAGCAGAGTTGTATTTGAACAGGAAGATTCGGATTAGACTTGACACACTTCTCCCTAACCCAAAGGCAAAACTTCCATCAAAATCAATTGCTCCTCTTCGCGTCCGCTCTCTTAAAGTGGGGGAGAGGGTTCAGGCAAGAGTTCACCTGGGAAATAAAGACATATGGCAGTTTGGTACAGTCAAAAGAAAATTAGGTCAATACCATTACATTGTTCAATTGGATTCTGGACGAAGTTTAAAAAGACACATAAATCAATTGATTTCGACTCTTGTATCCAAGAAGAAAGTTACATTTACAGCACACAACGAACAAGATAGTTCTGTTGTTCCAAGACGGATACCTATTATAGACTGTCAAGCACCACCACAAGAGATCCACCCAGAGTCTGAATCAAATACAAACAATCCAACAGAACTAGACGGTACTCTAAGGGAAGAAAATCTAGACAGACCTCCAGCCACAGAACAAAAAGAAAACAAATTAACTCGTCATTCCAGACAGCGCAAGGTTCCGTCCTATCTTAAGGACTTTGCTCTCCAGCGATTAAGTGGGGGAGAATGTTATGAACATATGTAGTTGTTACCATAGCAACCAAAATGTTGATCATCAAATCTGTTTACTTTTCTATTCTGATTTTTAATATAACACAGTTACTTCTATTTCAACACTCTGTCTTTTTATATTCTAATATTCCACTCGAAAGTCATCTCACTATGTTTGGTGTTTAGTGCTACTTTATATTTTTAATAATTTTAATTGAAATGGTGACCATACGAATGTAGGTATCTCCAAGTAATGAAGACGAGTTAAGGATGAGTGGCGCGATCCTGCGTGTCGTAACCATCGAAGTATATAACACAACTGGAATGCTAGGTACGTGTTTACGAAATCGCACCGTTGTGGCAGCCTTCCCCCACCATCATGTGGGGCCCAGCGGATTTAGCCAATTCATCGAATAGTGCGCGAAGTTGTTAACTCGCTCCTAGCCTTCAACAACAAAGATTACAATAATATTTATATATTCGTAATCTGTGTAAGTTGTGTTATATACTTCGATGGTCGTAACACTTCGGCCCAGTATGCACACTTACAGTCAACACAACTGCAACTTTCATGTGAAGACATATTTACAGTAATCGGTAAAAAATAATAAATAGTTGCTGGGCAGCGGTGACAATAAACACAAGTCTATTGCAACGCATGGATACAGCTTGTGTATTAAATATACAGTGCCAGGAGACCGAAATTTGCTCGGATTGAATAAAACATTAAATTTATTTATGTGAAGAAATATTTTTAGAGGAATCGGTAAAAATAATAATTAATAGTTGCTAAGCAGCGGTGACAATAAACACAAGTATTTATTTATGTGAAGAAATATTTTTAGAGGAATCGGTAAAAATAATAATTAATAGTTGCTAAGCAGCGGTGACAATAAACACAAGTCTATTGCAATGCATGGATACAGCTTGTGTATTAAATTTACAGTACCAGGAGACCGAGTTTTGTTCGGATTGAATGAAACATTAAAATACTGTATAAGTTAATTAGCTAAATTAAAGATATTTATTATGTATGGTAATAAATGTGAACGCATTTAAGATTATACAAAGAATATGTTTCAATACACTTTTATAAATAGATTGTAAAAAATGTAACCTGTATCAGCTGTTTTTATTAACTGCAGTTAAAAAAGGTATTGACGATAACATGGTCGCTTTAAGGGGCTTTAGGGAAACTAGATTTTTCCCAGCCTTGTGACCAGCTCCAATCGATTTCTTGTGGCCAAATACCCCAATTTAAATTCCTTGGGCCGAAATAAAAGTTGTCCGTACACGCGCTTGTTTTAGAGTATAGGATTAATGTTTTACTTAAATAAGAGAAAAGCTGATTCTTGGCCCTAGGGCCGCAAAAACCTGCTCGGTCCCCCAAATAATGACGATGAACAGCTGGCATATACGTCACTTACAGCACCCAATTAAAGTTTTTGAAAGGCTAAAACATCACAGTGCGGTAAAAACCTTTTTAGGTTTGAGTGGCCAAGAAGGTAAAGTAAGGCATGTTAAAAAAATATATTATCTAAAAAAACGTTTATTCCTTTCAATCCATACGTACATCAATGTCACACAAACTGTTCAGTGTTACTTTAAGTGGGATTTTATGTTGATACTGTGCGAATACTTCATATGGGTCTGCTAGTTTACACTTGTTTTACATTACCCCTCTACGCAGTGTGTAAATTAAGTCTTGAAACAAATCTGTATTTTTAAAACCGAAATAGATAGAAATATTCTGTTTGTAGCATTTATTCTTAACAAAGATTCCACTATTTTTTAAACAAAAAAATTTTATAACCCCTAACAGGGTAGGGGGTAGGTGTTGACTTTTTTTTTCAAACAGTAACCCCTATTGAGTGACCCTTCATTTTGAAGGCCTTGTCAAAAGAAACACAATAACGCAAATCCAAGGTGAATATCTCTCCTCTAGCCAACATGGCAGGTATTCCAAAATTGGTGCTTTTTCACATAAATCAAATTTTGGAATACCCGCCATTTAGGCTAGGGATGAAATATCTACCTCGGGTTTGCGTCATTTCTTTGTATTTCTTTTGACAAACCCTTTAAAATGAGGGGTGACTCAATAGGGGTTGCTATTTGAAAAAAATAAGTCATCCCCTACCTTGTTAGGAGGGTAAAAAATATTTTTGATGTAAAAAATTACAGAACAAACAGAAGATTTCTATCTATTAAGGTTTAAAAAATACAGATTTGTTTCAAGACTTAACTTACACATTGTATTTAGATTCGTTTGGAGTTCACAACATGTTGAATTTTCGCTAATGTATTATTGTGCAGTTTTCAAAAGTGCTCTAATTTAAATAACTGTCTTTCAGAAAATTTCAAACAAGATTTCTTATCGCAACATCGTCATCGTCAAAGTAGACACACAGGTATACAATGAGATCAGACACAATCAAGGGGCTAAACCGGTGCCACTCATCAAATTCTATAGAAAAGGAATTGTTGTAAGTATTTAGTGTATTGCTAAAGTAGGTATTGTGGACAAGGCTAGGTTGCGAAAGAGGGCCTTTTTAAGACCCGCTACAGCCTCCTACTATAGATTAATTATCCTATCTATCAGCTCCACCCGAAGTTATGTCAACAGTTCCGCAAATAACCGTGATATGTTATTGGATAACATTTTCAATCGAGATAAGCCTGACCAAAATATCGATTCAAAATTTTCATTCGATGTAAATATCGATTATCTGTTATTGTAATCTAAAAATATTCAAGAAGAGCGCAGCTTGTCACTCTTTTAAAGCGTACTGAGGCATATACGTATGTATATTATATGTATATTTTTTAAGCGTGTGGGTTGGTAATCTGAACTATACGTCGTGGTCTGAACAAAATCACCTTTGCAATCTTTGTAACTACCAACAAAATGAAACTGTACATCACTTTATAGCAATTTTCCCTAGTTTAAAACATATCGGACGCATCTCGCTTGGAAAGAATATTTTCAATAAAACAGAATATTATTTTTTTTATGGGAGGAATAGGCAAGCTTTAGCCCTGTTGATAATGTTGAAATGCTAATTAACATATGTTCTTTATTTTTATTGTTATTGTCTGGGTATGGAAATAATCTTATGAGATGAACACCATTTGGTGATATGAACGGACTCAAAGGTTACTTGACATCGAATACACACAAACAACAGTTTTTAAAATTTAGAAGACAAAGCTACATGAGATGTTCAAAGTGAATGTTGTGAATTAAATATGTTATGTTGATCGAATATAGTCGATTTAACAACATATTACTTAAAAGAAAACACTAAAATGAATATAAATTGAATTGTGTAATACGTGAAACATATTCATTTAAGGGCACTAAAACAAACAGTAGCTTATCATGTACTACTGTCCTGTACTACATTTGTCCTGCTTCTAACTATTTTAGAATTAACTCGACAAACATATTTTGTTGAACGACCAAACAACTTTACAGTATGTATTCAACTGTTAGTATTTTCTTGGTGAGATATTCATGATCTTGGCCTTATTAATTTGCAACACTAAATCTATTTGAGTTTTAATGCAATTTTTAGGTGGGCCATATCCGAGGATTTCCAGGCGAGAAAACCCTTATTGACACCATAAATACACTTAAAGGAAAATTTAACGACAAGGATCTAAGGGATTTAGAGCAAAAAGACAAACAGAGCCTTGTTGAAGAAGAAAGAAAACAGAAAGAGCTTGCTGCCAGAGAAGCCGCTGAGGATGATGAAGAAGAAGAAGAAGATGAAGAAGGAACACAACAAGGTACAAATGGAGGGAAGGGCGGAGGAGAAACAAAAACAGAAGAGAAAAAACCAGGTGAAAAGAAAGAAGATGGAAATAAAGGAGTTGACAATAAAGGAGAAGGAAATACAGGAACTTAATGTAAACCAAGACCTAGAAGTGCATTCTGAATGTCATCAAGAATGTACCAATCCGTTTCCCAGTTTTTTTAACAGTAAAGTAGTTTGCAAAATTAATTTGCAATTTTGATAATAAAGTGTTTTTTCCTCGTAAGCTGTTTGTGTGGTTTGATTGAGCTTGAAACCTACCTACTATTAATAATTAATAGTAGTATATATATTCCAGACAATTGTTAATAAATCAAAAGAAATTGATTATTCATTTTCATGAAATAACTTTGATACGAATTTGTGATATCAATGTTTTATGTTTTATTCTTCTGTGTTAAAATAAATAAATAAAAATATATTTATAAATATAAATAAACCAGTAATATGACACACATAGCTTCTCTCATTAGCTTGTCATAAAACCTTATCATAGGCAAGCAGTAGGTAACAATGGTAATTATGGGGGAAATCCAAAAATAGCATTGAAAAGCTAACTTAGCCTAAATGATATTTCATACACAAAAAAGGTAATCTGTGTGCTATGATGAGTTAATTATGGTAGTAGGAAAATCCAGTGTAGATTACGAGTACAAACAGTCATTGCCGCTCTCGAAATGTATGACCACTCATACACTCAGCTAAAGCTTTGTGCGGCCACCTTAGACGTACTTTGCGCTCTTAATAAACAAAAATGGCTATTTCGGTTGATGTTTTCGTTAAAATCAAACCATAACCAGTTCCAGTTCGGTAATTAAGTATTACTAAAAGTATGACAATGAAATGCACCTCTGCATTATTGTACGTATAGTGTTATTTTCTTAACTTAATTTTAAACCAACGCTTTCCACATTTTAAATCGTATAAATATTCACCCATTGCTAATAATAACGGCTTTATTCTTCTGGCTTGTGAGGCGGTTCGATACAGCGACATCAGCTGGCTTGCAGTTTCCCGCCATATTTGTCAAGACGGATGAGTCACATTGGGAATTTTATGTTAAATCTTCTTGCCAGGCACCTAGTAAGTATCTATTAGCTATTATATATATTATCTATTATATCTATTATCTAAAATATCTATTATCTATTATCTATTATATTATTAAAGTGATGAGATAAAACATGAATGTATTCAAATGTGAATTGTAACTAAATTACTTTCAATATTTATTAATAACTGTATTAAAAAAATATTTAAATTCAATCAAATATAAATTAATGAAGAAGAAAAACTGTATTCTAAAATAATATTCTAAAATGAATTGGGGTCTAGGTAGGAAATATTCCTTATGTACCGTCCAGTGTCCAGGTGTGAAGTAGCATTGCTGGAAGAAAAGCTAAAACAAAGAAAAGAAATGTGCTGGTGGTGGAAGATATATGTAGATAGAGATGGATGTGGGAGCCAAGTCTCCAGTGAAATAGTCAAAAAGTCTAGAAAATTAACATTTATAACATGAAGAAATATCGATTATAAAGAGACATTAAGAAAGAAGATAAATATTCAACAAAAATTGGTAGTATCAAACTGAATACACATTTAAAAATCATCGTTAATTTCCAACCACAATCACACTATTGTGAATAGACTAAATTCAATTGACTGTTTCAAACTAAGAACTTATAGCCTACATTTTTGACTCTCATTATTATCTCATATTATTTAGCCTACATTAGTATAAATTAAGTTAATTAGCCTATCAGAATTTTATACCCGGCACGAACCAACCCCTAGATTAAGATCATTGCTCTCCAAATTTTTACCTAGCCCATCTATAAAAACCTAGACCAAAATATAATTTAACTGTCATAGCCCCATGAGACTGTTGTAATAGCTATAGAACCTAAATACATCTTATTGTAACTTTATTGGAATTTTTATTATCTATTTTAGGTAAGTTTATATTTATATGAAATCCATTAATAAAGAGAAGTTAGGTTGCAGTGATACATTCCAATTTGTGTAAACGCTTAAGGCCTTTTATTAAATAAAAATATAGGCATATGGCACATCGAAATGAAGCTTAGAGTAGTATATTTGTCGAAAAGTATTGGTATGGACGAATTTCTTAAGGGCTAAGTCCCACAGGTCAATTTCCAACCAAAGGGTTGTGCCTGACATGCTTCTAAGGTTTAAATGGTTTAATTTAATTTATTTAATTAAACAGCTGGTCAGTACAATGGGTATCTGTACTGTGGATAGAACCATCGACAAAAAAAATGGAAGTAATCAGAAGGGACTAAATCGTTGCTGTCAGAATGAACTACTGGTTAATATTAGTCGTGGCACTGGAACAGATCCGGTAACGTGTCTCGATTTGGATGTTTATATAAATACTACAATATCATTAATGCATGTAGAAATGTTATTATAGGGAAACCATTGTTCAAAAGCCATTACTATTTAGGGTTTTTGTAAAATATAAATACTAAAATATTAGAATTTTTATTTTAATTTACATTTTGGGAAGGTTTTTTGAACACATACATACATGAGCACCGTGTCAAAGTTATTTTTCAGTGGCGCAGTTGGTACGGGTTGGGATCAAGTGAAATATCCGTGATAGTGTAGTACCGTAGTACTATAAAGTCAATGGTAGTACAGAGCAGGCCTAAAACTGTACCGGTATACATAAAAATATAACCCTCTTAGACAAAAAATGTTCTCTATTCGAACACATACATACATGAGCACCGTTTCAAAGTTATTTTTCAGTGGCGCAGTTGATACGGGTTGGGATCTCGTGAAATACCCGTGATCTTGTAGTACAGAGCAGGCTTTAAACTGTACCGGTATACATAAAAATATAACCCTCTTAGACAAAACATGTTCTCTTTTCGAACACATACATACATGAGCACCGTTTCAAAGTTATTTTTCAGTGGCGCGGTTGGTACGGGTTGGGATCTCGTGAAATACCCGTGATCTTGTAGTACAGAGCAGGCTTTACACTGTAGTGGTATACATACACATATAACCCTCTTAGACAAAAACGTGTTCTCTATTCGAACACTATCCCCTGATCATTCGAGAATTATTCGGTCTACAATGCCGTAGTTCCTAAGCGGTAACGGTCCAATTATATTTTCACAGTACCTTTAAGCAGTTCCAACAGCGAAATCGCAGTTGCGTGTTACTTGGTTAGTTAATTGACAGTCTAAAAGGATTTCTCGCAAGTTAAAACATTCCGCGGCCTTCAGGCTCTAAAGCGCACGTCAATTGTCACTTACCGTAATATTAGGTCACTGTATAACTAGGGCGTAATAAGTCTGCCATTGCCTGTAAAAGAGTGTGGGTAATGGATTGGTTAGCTAAGTTTGAGTTTTGATCGTTAAACCATAGATTAAAGGAGTAGAAAAATGTCTCCTTTTATCTATGGTAAAACTATATAGACAAAAATAATTAAATATAGACCGACAACTGTGCTGCGGTTAGCATAGGTTCTGGCGTCCACCGCTGGGAGCGCCATGTAGTTACGGTGTACTACATAACTACACGGCGCTCCCAGCGGTGCACGCCAGAGCCTATGCTAATATCAGCACTGCCTACGGTCTATATTTAATTGTTTTTGTCTATGGTAAAATACACACAGGATTTTGAAAATAACTTCTTTTGATAAGCCGAAAGGCATAAGTTCTGGTTTGTGGAAGAACAATGTGACGGTGATAAACATGTAAGCACTTTTAGCTTTGGTCAAAGTCAAATTTATTCAGCCAGATTAACAAACATATTTGCTTTGGCCAAGTATTTAACTGAAAAATACTTTTTATTAAAAACAAGATTTAAGTAGCTTACTGAATAAATAGAATACAATTATAAATATGTCTTAACACACAACCCATTTCTATGAAGACTGCAGGTAAATTCCCAGACGCTGTAGCAGACCTTACCTATCAAGATGGACTTTAGACACTCTCTAAATATTCCGATGGCCTGTTCGGCTTTCAATGGGAGTAAGGGAGGTCATTTAAAAAATTAATGTGTTGATGTGAAAAGTATTTAAGGTTAGGTTCTTTAAGATAAAATATCCATTGACATAATACATTACACTAATCTATGCCAGAACTGCCAAATACTAGGTTAAGAAAATATCAAGAAAGATTTGATTTCACTCAGTTTGAAATTATTTAATAAGTTAATTCATAGTTGTGAATTTCTTAAACTCACAGTGTTTAAAGAAAGGTCGTATAGCTGGTTGGGCAAACCCCCTTTTAGAAACTACGAGAGTTTTAGTAAGATGGTTCTATTTATACAAATCTGAATGATAATTTCAACTTTGCACATTGCCTATTGCAAGATTGCACTGCTGAAGTACCATAAAATTATTCTAGTTCTGTTTAAGGTTTGGGAAATATACAAGATTAGTAAGGTACTGCTACGTTGTGTTAGGCGTTTTGTTTTTTAAAACTTAGCTTAAATAATCTTAGAGAGAGTTTGGTAAGTAAGCTTGAATTTTGTGATGCTACAACAACTCAGTTCAGATCAGATTTTGGTTTAATGTTTGATGTTTGTATTCATTTGTTCATGTTTTCACCTCAATGCAAATACAGGGTGTCCCACCTAATTTGTCTCAAATTACGGGAAAACGGCTTAAAGTACAAGGATGAAATAAAACTATTTCAAGTTTAGTCGACCCCGAGGAATAATGAGAAAATATTATTAACTTTTTTCCAATACAGGGTGTGCCAAAACAAAAAAAGATTTTATAGGTCTTTTAATTCTTAACAAATTTGTGATTTATACTTACCTTGTATCTCTTTTAGTTTTTGTGTGAATAACAAAAAACCTAATTTTCCTATATCAAATGAATGTTATTTGGGTTTAACACTTATGACCCTATTTCAAAAAATAAATTTTAGTGTTCAGTCATCACAATACATAGTTTTTATTATTTCAAAAAACCTTTATTTGTAGCATATCACAGTAAAGCTAATTTCATAACAAATGAGAAAATTCAACCGGAGAAGGGCTAGGTGCATTGGTATAGGAAACACAGAGCATGTCTGTGCACAGAGTATTAAAAACATATAGATTTTTCCCAAAATAACTGCCGCCATTTTGAAACGGAATAAGATAATTAATTTCTGTTTTCACCAAAATGTTTGTCTAATAAGTACCTTTAAAGTGATGTATAACATGACATATGTTTACTTGTGAAAATTCAGAGATTCGAACTAGTGACCCTCAGTTTTTGTCACACCCTGTATCGGAAATAAGTTAAAAATATTTTTACGTTATTGCTCGGGGTCAATTTAGCGGGAAATAATCTTACTTCTTCCTTTTACGTTAAGCCGTTTTCCTGTTATAAATTTGAGACACCTTACGTGGGACACCCTGTAGTGTATATCTGATACTCCAATGAGTAATATGATATTATATTAATAAAAAAACGGAAATAATCACACTTTATAACAAGAATTTTTTCTAATTCATAAAGAGAACTTCTTCTCGCAAAAATATATATTTTTACTAAATTGGAGACATTGACAGTTGGTGAGACCTGTAACTAGATATTCAGGACAAAATTTCTCTCTTTAACGATTCTTAGAACAATTGAACTATTTGAAAACAGAATATTACAGTAATTATAATATTTTTAAACCTGAGTGACTGTTTTGTAAGTTTATTACACATATAATTTCTCGTCTTGGGTTATAGATTACCATTTAAAAATATATTTTACCCGCTCTTATTAAAGATGTAGCCATTTTACTAGACTTAAAAGATATGTTTGGTATATTCCATTGATAAAGTAAAAGTCCATAGCATAGATTCAGAGGAAGTCGTCGATTCCAGGAAATGCCAATTTAAACTTGCTCAACTCTTTTTCGGTAGAGTTTTAAAGGCTTGACAGTATTATTGAGTTTTAATGCGATGTGTAAAGGATGAGGTGACAATAATACCTTTCGAGTTGAAAATATTTAACTTGCAATTTTATCGTTGACTTTATTGTTTTAATTTTACTTTGGGTATTTGAATTTAACAAATTATTCGTAAGAATTAACTGACGTTCCAAAACTGGGCTAGAAGTGTTATAAAGGTAATTTTATAGTAGACCAAACAATTTTGCTTTTGCAATTAAATTTTGCTCGTGAAAATTTATAAGTTGTACTGTATTTTATGCTGTTGCACTCCTAGCTAAAACAAGGTTCCGACTGTCGAACAAACATCTTCCCAACTCTGATTACTTTTACTTTTGCTTTACAACGGAGTTGATCAAGGGCTCTTTGGGAAAACAGTCCCACAAAACGTTGACTGGAGCGGTAAGTTACTTTGTAAAAAAGTGAGAAATGGACAAATGAGAAACGTAATATCTTTCATCAACACGATGACGTATTACAGTATGAGGTTGTGATTAAAATACAACAATGGTAAGCTAAAATGGTTTGCTTCGTTGAATTTTAATAAACTCGTGTTTTAACTTTTAATTTTCCTCTAAGGGGTTGTGACAATATTCTGATAGAAATAAAATTTTTAATGTAGGTTTTAAAGTCATAGGGTATACTTAGGAAACATAATGGGAAGGTAAAAGTATGAATTGATTGGCCATTTGTCCCTAAATAATCCCACAATGTCATATTAGTAATGCATATCTCTTCATTGTGGGTTTTAAGCAATGCACTTACTAGTTTGATATCAGACCAGTTAAAACCAAGTTTCACTTTCACTTTTTAAGTAACATAGCTTTTATTTTATTTTTCATTTTAGATTTGATATAAGGTGATATACTTTAACAAAGTTTTGACCTCAAATCAATGTGCTGTGATGTCACAAATTCCCCTGCTAACGTATGCTAAAATATGGTAACAAATATAATATGGAAATTCAATATGCCAGGATAACTACGACAATAGAAGTCCTTATTTTGAAATCCATAAATGGAGACCAGCCTGCTGATAATTCAGGATGAATAACATGAGCTAATTGAATATATATTTTAAATAATGATAATCATACAAATAATTTTAAGGTACGTTATTGTGACATATTATGTCGTCGAAAAGGCGACCGGTGAGTCACGACCGGAAACGGAAGGGACAAGTGCTGCTCTCTGTAGCCAACGTGGACCGGAAGTCGTTTAGGCTGCAACTTACAATGTCAACCGAACTTGTAGGCACGAAATTTCTAATATTGTATGGTTAAGAATATCTAGGACCATTTAATTAAAAAAACCTCGCTTTTTACTGCATATGTTATTGCTACAGTGCCTGTTTACATAATTACCTGGCAACTTAAACATCTGTATGTCGGACCGAGCTGGTCTACTGGTAGAACGCTGACATTAGGTCGCTATGGTCCAGGGGTTCAAATCCCGCCAATCACCAATGGATTTTAAAAGGCGATAACGACGCTACCCCCTAAAGTAATGTGCTGCTATGTAAAGTAATGTAAATACAGCCCCGGGCATGAGCCTAGCGTCCTTTTACAGACAATAAATATTACTCCATGTGAGTGACCTTTAATAAAAATCAACCAATTATTACCAGTGCAATATCTGCATTTAAAATTCTATTGCATTCCCCTTGTATATCTATATTTAAGTAACTCAAACTGATATCGATTAGGTTCCTTTTGCTCAAGAGTTGCAGATCCCTTCTCCAACGATGGCGTTTTGAGTGTCAATCTCAGTTCCAATATATGTCTCTGAAAGTCTTGAGTCATTTTGGGGGGGGGGGGGGGCAAGTGAGAGGACTGTCGTTAAAAACCTTATGAATTCCGAATGATTGAAGAGAAAAATCAACTCCTATTTAAAAAAAAAATCAATCTGTGTGTAGTGTATGCTCATACCAAGATATACTAACACATAATAAAGAGTAGACTTGATATATTATTAGTACATTTAGCGCAAGATTAGGCTATCAGTCAAAGAAGCTTTCTAGCATATGCTTAGAGTTACGTAGTCATAAGATCAGGGTTTGGGCCGTTCTCTTACAAGAAACGGTAAAAATGCCACTGATTTTACTAATTAGTTATACAAAAATATTAGACAAGTTTAACGGGTTTTTAATTTTATTTTACCTGCTCACGTTCGTTGTTTAGTACTTAATCCTTTGCGAAATTATGTTTTGATCTTCTTTTGCATTTGGAATTTTGTATCTATTAACTTACTTTTGAATTCAAAACTAATTTCCAGGTTTGCAGTTTTTTTCTTAAGAGAAAATGAAAAGATAAACTATGGTAAAAATTAATTGTCCTTTGAATATTTTCGAAATTACACATAAAAAGTGCATAGGTAGTGGAACTGATTGTTTCATGTTTGTATTGACGATACTAGAATCTGCAAGAGGTTTGTATACGGTACTTTAAAACCTCTCAAAGTACCTCAAAACCTTCAACTGATCCATATACATATAGAAAATTATTAGATCTATAACAGTACTAAATAAAAGTAATTTACTTTGACTAGGATCAATATTTTTGCCAAAACTTAAATTAAATTAACGATGGTAAATCAATTTGTGAAACTCACGTTTTGGTTCATGATTTATGGTGGTAATCGATCTATGGTTATCCCAGACAATGGATAAACGGACAATGGGCTATCCATTGTCTGTAGTACTATACATTAAAATCTATTGGCCACATTTTAATATTTTTGAGGATCCATATATTAATAGGCAAGCATTTTCTTTCAAACCTTTATTCTCAGCTTGTGTGCATTGCATGGAAAATTTAAGCATACTGTAAGATATTTTCCTGTAGATGTGCAGAATCCTGTTATAAATTAAAATAGGCAAAAAATAAACACAAAAATGCATCTGAAATTAAATAAAAAAATTACATGGGCCTTGCCGGTGACGAAATAACAACAAAATATAAACAGAACATCAAAACAAATTGAATAAATTACAATCACATGTTTTATTTACAGCGAGGGTCGAGTTTTTGACCACTGGACGACCACTAGTTCAAATTATTACTGACAATTAATTTTTCTGGCTAATGGATATGGAAAAAAGCAGTTAATAAAATCACCCCAATGTAAGTTTTGGAAACACATTAGGCCTACTTGTTTTACTAGAACCTGGTATAATATAAAAATATTGCAACAAACTATACAAAGCTAGTAAAAGGCATAATTATCGAATAGGCTATTAATAACCTTAGAAGTGTAATTGTAAAGTGTTATGGTAAGTAAAAACTATTTAGTAGGCTTTGCCCTCCCCCTTTTTGCGTCCGTGGAATTATCAGCCCTTAGGTAGCCCTTATATCAGGGTTAGACGAAACACGGGTTGAAGATTTGCTTTTGCCCTTCTGTACCCTACCTAAATTAGACGAAGACCATATTGTATTAACCCTATAACCAGATTAATTTGACAAAATCGTAACCCTACTGTAAACGCGATTATTAATTTTTTATATTTGATTAAAATTTAAAAACTTGCTTTCAATTTTCAATTATATTTACATTAAATAACTATTTCAATGTTTTACATTAAAGCAGGTTTTATGGAAAAAAAACATGATTTAATAGTGTAGTTATTTTCAGTAATCTCACTTAAACCATTGTACAAATCGTCTTACAATTTTTACAAATTATGATTTGTATTTAGGATTTAATTGAATAAACTGTTTTGATTACTAATTTTATTTAGAGTGTAAGTCTAACACACATAAAATATATAGTTTCCTTTACTTATAAAAAATAATAAAAAGATGAAATAAATAATCGCGAATTAGTTTTATATGTAGTGTAAATGAAATAAATAAAAATCGGAATTGTAAAGAAATAAAAATAAATAAAAGGCATTAATGAGAAATTAATCAGGGTTTAATTGACATGGAAAAAAACTATAAAAATTATTGATTAAATTACCCTTATTATTTAAGTTTTCGCTCAAAGCCTAATGAACATAAAACTTACTTTACACTCTAAGAATGTGTTAAAATTCAGCCGTTGTAAAAAAAGTAAACAAATTTCGTAGGGTAGTTAAATAATTATTACCACACAAAATTACTAATGTTTATTTCAGCACTGAAATGCCCCTTCAATTTCCACATCATCCTTAAACCTACTTATGTTGTAGATACATATGATATTAAGGCTTTATTGATTTATTTTGATTATAACTCTACATGAAAAACTTGCAGATAAATTACAAACATTACAAATAGCATCTCAACCGTAAAAATATTCTGTTACTTAACTACTTGTTTTTAATTAAGGAAATTTATTTACAATTGTTCGGTCAGAGAGATAAAATAATCATGTGTTGTACAATAGTAAACATATTGTTAAAACGATGGGCGAAATCCCTTGTATGGGTGCCGAGCTTCGCACTGGAACAAAAATACAGTACCAGTTTAGTAATTATGTTAATTTACAGGGTGAAAACTTAACCATAAGACAATTAATTGGTTTCTTAGTAATCATGACATTTTAGTCCTACCTATTATTCTCTTTCGATAAAAATAGTTCATAGCTGGTCCATAGATGGGATGTCTACTAATACATTAGTCAATGGTGTTACAGTAAAACCTCAATAACTCGACACCCGGTGACTTGACAGTCAACAGCTGACAAGACGCATGCAAAAATGAGAAATGTTTTTACATTTAGTTTTAATTTTAATTGAACAGTTAATATTAGACATTTATTTGAAGATTTTTTTACTCAATATGTCAAAATACTCATGTAAGTAATAAATTCATGTTATAAAATTAGACTGTTATGAATTCATTCATAAAAACCCATTGAAAATTTCAATGTTTTGGATAACTTGACAACCCCTAAACTCTATAACCTCCGGGTCCACAAATAGTCCAGTTTATTATAGTGAGGTTCTACTTTTTTTTTTGTCCTAAGACGCTAGGCACGAACCTGGGATTGTTTTTCACATTACTTCAGGCTAGACCTAGGGGTTGCGGCATTATCACTTGGATAAAATCCATTGGTGACTTGGCGGGGATCGAACCCGGGACCTCAGGGACTGAAGTCCCGTGCTCTAACCACTACGCCAGCTCGCTCCCCAGTGAGGTTCTACTTAGTTTGAGTACATTTTGAGAGGTGTTGTTTAGTAATATTTCAGTAAAACTATGTATTTAAGCAATATTTTTTTCAACATAGGCTACTGGATTCTGACGGATAGAACAGGTTTCAAATGCTGTTTACCTTTTTTGTAGTCAAAATTTTGTATTTTAACAGATCTACCAATGAAATAAAATCACATAAGAGTTTCCCACATGCCCAATTGATTTCTTATGTTCAAATTTATTATGGGTTTCTACAACTTATAGGCCTATCTCAAAAAAGGTTGGAAAAGAACAAAAACTTAAAATTACACAGTGGTTTATGTGGTTATGTGACATCTGAAAATTTGTAGCAAATATGCGCTTTTGTAAGGAATGTCATAATTGACCAATATATTGGAGAAAAAATAGTGGTCATTTAGAAAATAAAATTTAAATAGTAAGCTGTCATAAAAAATGGGAGCAAGATGTTCAACTTTGTATAGAATCAAAAAAGGAAAATTTTAAAATTTATTTGAAAACTACAACACAGCACATATAACTTCACTGTGTGCATAGCTACTTTTGTATGTTTTACTATATTATATGTTTTACTTATTGATCAGCATTGTACGTGTTATTCAATTCAAAGAAAGAGAAATTAGTCTAATAACACTTGAAATATCATTATGACGATTGGAATGTCCAATCGAAATCGATCACCACTTACCATCTTTAACATATGTTTATAGTCTTGTAAGTGAACATTATAATTATTGTAAATATATTTTGCAAGTGTTATTAGACGGATTTGTATTTATTTTCCGTTTGTATTTCATTAAAAAGCTCCTCAAGTGGTACTGGGAGTTTTGCATTTTAAAAATTAATGTATATTAATTGTCTATGTTGAAAAGTCAACAATTTATAGAAAAAAATCGTACTTTGAAATTTTGTCGATTCAAATAAAGAGGACAACGTTAAATTTAGTCATAAAATTTGAGGCAACGTTTGTTATAACGAAACGGGTAATTATAATCGACCCTTCTCACAACGTCTAAATCGGTCCATTATGTGTGATTATTCTAATACCTCGCATTATAACTAAAGTCTGGTCCTTATCCCTCCATGTGACCCTTTCATGTGGCGTTTATTTGCCATTCAAAGTCAAATTTTGTCACGCAGACTTAAAACTGCTTTTACATGTACTAAATAAGACCTTTGGAAACCCTAATATCGTGTTACATTGTTGGGTTATTTTAATTATTCATTGTTTGATTTAGTTTAAGTCAGGACTTGAATGTATATGTACCCATAATTAATTTCCCATTCAACCTCCTCTAGTCTTACCTACGACAAACAAAAATTTAATATAAACTCAGCTCTGCTGTGGTTACCATAGGTTCTGGTGCACACCGCTGTGAGCGCCGTGTGGTTACGGCGTACGTGCTACGTAACTACAAGGTGCTCCCAGCGGTGTGCGCCAGAACCTATGGTAACCATGGTAACCGCAGCACGGCTGACAGTCTGTATTCAATTCTTTTGTCTATGGTCTTACCCAGCAACATCGCCTCCCGGTTGACTACCAGAGGAGTCTCGACCACACTCTCCATATCACCCTGCCAGAGGACGGGGGAGACGGCGGCCACGCAGCGTAGCTTCATCTGGCCGCCCAGGAAGTGACGGGGTGCCGCGGGCAGGCGGAGCCCTAGAGACGTCGTCACCAGTCCGTGGGGGTGGGTTAGTGGAGGCCGCGGAACCAGGTAATCACCGTTGACCTACAATAAACATCATTCTGTTTAAACATAGTAAGTTTTTGATTGTTTAATATGAGTTTTCGAAGAAGAGATACATATCCCTATCTAGGAGTCAGAAGGAAATATTAAACGTAAGCATGGGTCGATATGCACATCAAATTAAAGGTGAATGAATGAAATGAATGAAATACGTTTATTTATCCCAGTATTATTACATAAAGATAAAGATAAATAAAAATAGAGAGCAAGATTAACTACAGCAACACAAATATAATTGTCAGATGAATCTGCCATACTTATGGGATAGGCCTACATGGGCAGGTGCCTGTGCGTAGGCCGGGTTGTTTCAGTCTGCGAAATTTTAAGGGCAAAAACTGAATATGGGAGATTTTTTTCTTAATTATTTAAAAGAAAACTGAAATGCGGTTGAGAATGTCGGCGACGACAACCAAAGCCAGTTCAATCAAAAAAAGACATTTAAATAAAAAAAAGGTATTTGTTAGTAGAATACAGGGTTATTCTAAATGATGGACCCATTTTTAATGCTTTATAATTTTTATACTATTAAACTTACCGCTATAAAATACACATCAAACGAAAAAGCAACTCAAAGAGTTTATGCCTTCCAAAGACACATCATTTAACAATATTGATCCAACAGAACTGTAGATTTAATTGTACAAAGTTAAAAAGTAATCTCCAACTTTTTTTACCACTAGAAATTTGGAGGTTACTTGACATTTTTGCAAATAACTTTTAAATGGTGAGGAAATCGACCAAAGTGGAAGGTAATATTCCGAAAGATAATAAAATTTCCTACAATCTACTATTACGCATATCTTGAAAATACTCAATAAATGTAGCCTAAATTTGGCTTAAATAAAAAAGTGTGAAATTTAATGTTTGCTATGTTTATTGTCTACAATTGAAGACGGGGATTTTCCATTTTTTTTTTCATTTTGAGGCAATTTTTGGTACCGTTCTTGAGTATTTTCAAAAAATGTATAGTAGCAGTTTGTAGGAAATTTTATTCTCTTTCGGAATAATACCTTCCACTTTGGTCGATTTCCTCACCATTTAAAAGTTATTTGCAAAAACGTCAAGTAACCTCCAAATTTCTAGTGGTAAAAAAAGTTGGAGATTACTTTTTAACTTTGTACAATTAAATCTACAGTTCTGTTGGATCGATTTTGTTAAATGATGTGTCTTTGGAAGGCATAAACTCTTTGAGTTTCTTTTTCGTTTGATTTGTATTTTATAGCGGTAAGTTTAATAGTATAAAAATTATACAGCATTAAAAATGGGTCCATTATTTAGAATAACCCTGTATAATGCCACAGATTTAAGCTCAAAAGAAAAATTTAATCAAAAATGGCAACCGTTCAAAGATTCAAAATGGCTGATTCAATAAATCTTTAAATGGCTGCCCTTTTTGACTCAGATTTCTTTTGAGCTCAAATTTGCGGCATTGTTTTTTTTACTAATAACAAGCTTTAATTTGACGTGCATATCAACATATTATGCTTCTATTTAAGACTCCTTGGATTGAGTAAATAATTTAAGTCACAATGGTTGGTAGTTATTGTGTACTAGGTATTTGATTTATAAGTCCTTTCTAATTTTAAATAGATCAGAACAATGCTAAACAGCCTTCTTATGTCATATTACTACCCCTTATAAGCAAGTTCTAATCTATCCAGTCGGTAGACCAGAATCCCTAATTAAATCTCCTTTGAACTATCACGTTTTTAAACAATGCTAATAAATGATTTATTAATTATTTTGGGATACTAAAACATACTTCTTAAAACTTAGAGCCCAAGTTACCTTTTAAAAAGTAACCTTGTATTTGTATTTGTACTTGTATTAAAAATGTTTTTCATTAATGTTTGAAAAGATTGCAGCTTGAAAAAGTGAACTAGAGTAAAGGGTCACAATATTTGGGTTAGATGTCAAAAGAAATTAATATGGATAACATTTGTTATGGTATTTCATCACAATGAACGAAAATTAATTTACCAAGCGAATAACAGTCATATTTTCAGATATTATATAAGAACAGTGGCGAGATAAAACATTCCAAAGCTGGTTTTGAAGTGGCAATATCTGTCGTCTTTGTACGTTGCAAGATGAGATCTGAAACTTAAGACTGGTGGAGACAACAATAAAGGGTGATTGGTACTCAGTGTGACAAAAATTTTTTGGTGTAATTACAAAGTAAATGAAGTGTGATGATGCATATCAAATGTTCCAAGTCTAAAAATTAGCTTCCCAAAAAATTATTTTATATTTTTCAAAAATAACCATGCTTTCAAACTTAATACAGCGATTTCTCAATTACCTGTAAATAGATTTGAGTAGATAATGTCATTTTCGTGTTCTACATTAAATTTTGAACAAGAATAATAGAAACTGACGGATCAGTTGTAAAAACTCCATTGTAAATAGATTCAAAGATAAAAATTAAATAGATGTTTGATAAATATTTAAAAACCAATGGTCAATTGCATTTTTCACACCCTGTATACAAGAAAGTGTCGGAATATGTAAAAAACTGCGGTATTTTATAAGCTTTTCAACCATATGATACACCATTAAGCTTTATGTCTGCTTATGTACGCTTTAGTGATTTGAAGACTACAAAGCATGGTGTCTTAAACATTTAAAACATAGAAAGTCGGCATGTATTAAGCAAAAGTTGTATTTTTGTTTCAGCTTGAACAGTAAAAACAGTAAAAAGTTCCCTGTTTTCTGGTATTCAAATCACTAAAACAGACAAAAAAATATCTAAACCTCAATAGTGTAGCATATGGTTGGAAAGCTTATAAAATGGCGCAGTTTTTAACATATTCCGACACTTTCTTGTATACAGGGTGTGAAAAATGCAATGGACCATTGTTTTTCAAATTGTTATCAAACATCTTAATTTTTATCTTTGAATCTATTTACAATGGAGTTTTTACAACTGATCCTCCGTCATTTTCTATTATTCTTGTTCAAAGTTTAATGTAGAACACGAAAATGACATTATCTACTCAAATCCATATACAGGTAATTGAGAAATCGCTGTATTAAGTTTAAAAGCATGGTTATTTTTGAAAAACATAAAATATTTTTTTGAGAAGCTAATTTTTAGACTTAGAACATTTGATATGCATCATCACACTTCATTTACTTTGTACTTACACCAAAAATTTTGTCACACTGAGTACCAATCACCATACATGGTCCTGTTTGGTCGTATTGTTGGCGGGTTGTACAGTGGTATACCTAATAAAAAACTGTATCAGCAAATTGACACACACTTTCTCCTTTTAGCTTTCAAATAACCCATAATGTAAGCGATGGGGGTAACTATGATATTTAATGGGTAAAATTACAAAAACTACAACACATTTTGAACCTTAATTTTTTGAGCGTTGGTGCTGTACCAGGTCATTTAGAGTAAAAGTAACCATACTAAATGTTAGTAAGAATTGTTCGAGCTGATTTTGTGGAATTCAGATTTTCTGTTTTTATGGGAGATTTATTAATGAAATAAATACCCACGACCTAGAAAACCTGCAGACTAAGCGAATTTCCATTTGTCTGAATTGATTTTCAATTAAATCTATTTAAACAGCATTAAGTTAAACGAGTACCTAGGTTTGCTGCTACAAGGAAACTAATAACGAGTGTTTTTTTATTAAAATATTAATAGCTTGGTATAGAATAGCAAAATTTGCCAAGTTTGATAAAAAATATATCCATAAACAACCAAACTACAAAATTTTACAATATTCTCCATAAGAATAACATGGGAATTTTAATTTAGAATTTTTAGAATTTTCTCCTTTATCAATAACCGTACAAAAACACCTTGATATAGTAAATTATTTGTTTTTTAAGGTCTTTTAAGATATAGAGAGAAAATGGACTTTTATGTTTTGAGGGTCAAGAATAAGAAAAACCAATTTTTACCCCATAAACCCTCCGTAAAACCCCGTTCCCATAGTTCGATCACGCTGGTTCGCGACCCCATTCAAGTTTTACACCTTTAAACCTAATTTCATCAGAATCGGACAAAAATTACTCAAGTTATTGTTCACGGACACATATAAAAATTTGAACGAATTGTGTTTTTGGCCTCTGGGGACATCAAAATGAAAAAGTAAATCAGTCCCGGGACTAGATCTTACCGTGCCACCTAAGGTAATAGTTACCGTAGGGTACTATGGGGGAACCGTAGGGGTGGTTTCTATAGGGGAATTTGCTAAAAATAAATAAAAAATTACTAGAGATACAATGGATTAGTACCCTCCAAACAAATTCCATCAAAATTTGAACACGTGACGACCTTGACGTACACATTTATACATGTCATATTACTACTGAATTTTCTCGCTTAAAAATTAATAATTGTAAGCAATCGTACAAATCTTGACGTCTACAACAAAAGGAAATCTCAATAAAACTCTAACACGACGCGGGTTGTCTCCAAGAAAACTGACAAGCAGAAAACGCTGAAGTGGCAATATCATTGAGGCGTACCCCACCAAAGTGGTTTGGAAAGAAATGAAAAATTTATCATTTATCATATATATATTTTTTAATTTATACAATTTTGTTTAGTAACAATGTATAGACTTTTTACTTACTTAATGAAAATTCTATAGGTGTAAAATACCAAGCAAGTAAAAATATTTTAAGGTTCACAAAAACATTATGATTTGTTTGATTGTTGTTTGATAAAAAAAAAAAAACTGAAAACATGTTAGGATCTCTTTTACATGGTGATCAATACTTTACTAGATCTATATAATTAATACGCTACATGAAACTTTGTCGGTTGAACTCCTCCGCCATTTCTTAACCGATTTTATCCATTGACGTCTCATTGGAAAGAGCGTGTCGCGTAGATTTGCAAACTGGCCTTACATTTTTGACAAAGTCCCTTGGGTTCTGCCCCAGTGGCTTTGAAAGTTCCCATGTTATCCTTATGAAGAACATAATTGTTTACATTTTGATCAGCTGTATAATTTAATTGCTGTTATTTATTTTTCAATTCAATGAAACGCATTGAGTACCTTTATTTACTATTTGAGTTTGTGTAAACATAACCCCCAAAACGAAAACAGATCGTGTTAGTATGGTTGTATCTTAAATTTGTGTATTTATCGTTGTTTTGTGTCGCTATGACAGATCGTGTTAGTATGATTGTAACTTAAATTTTTGAATTTATCGCTGCTTTGTGTGGATATAATTTGTTTATTTGTGGTTTTTTTCTTTTAAATGCCTCCGACGCTACGACAATGAAACATAGACAGGAGGCGTAATCGTGATAACGACCGTAGCTACAGAACAGTGACACGTAATAGGCTCAACTATTAGGTTAAAATGCGCCCTAACACTACCCCAAAACAACTTTTCGTTCAAAATTGGCCCTCTATCAATGACCTGTGTTGCCTGTACAGCGAGGCATTTTGAGAAGGAGAAAACCGGCCGGAATGCTTTAGGTTTATCAATAACGAAGATAAACATGGTCTGAGTTACACACCGGTAATCTTTGAGTTGAATCTTTTAAATTCATTGTAAATATGACTGTTATTCGTTTTGAAATAACTCCTGTAATACTTTGCAATTGCTCGAATTCGAGCAACATGTACACTAGTATATTATAAAGTAATTGATTGATGTTACTTTTTTTTTGTTAACACACCCATGGAGTATGGTTAATCTATCAAATTATTTATTACTTGGTAAATTTCTTACCATAAAAACAATATGAAAATAAAAATATAACAATTTATTAATTTTCACGAATAAAAATTATATTCAGTACACTGCTCTGATTCTATTACCGCAAGCTTTTTTGTTTAACCTCCAATAAGCGCGCAATGCTTGAAAAAAATTAAAATCTAGTTTCCAATCTGAAAAAAATTGTATGTTTTGATGGCTCAAACCCGGACCCAGCTGTCCTTAATCATTGAGCTTTAAATAAATTATCCTGGCTGATGAAAAAGGTGATCTTAGTCAGTAACATAGCTACACAGATCATCTCACACCATCCTTCACTCTTCTCAAGGCCTAAAATATAGCTTCACTCATAAGAAGAAAAATGCGCACCTATGTGGCGTCCCCATCTTATATTGGTAATGATAATGACTATAGTTTCCGCAAGATATAAACGTTTTATGGACATACCTCTTGGTCGTTGACAAGCCAACGTAGTTCCGATGGAGGGTAGGATTTACCAGAAGTACAAGTCAGGTTGATGACGTCACCAACCAGGTAATTGTTCCTCTCTCCAGTGATGTGAGGGCCGTTGGTTGGCAGCACTGGAAACGACCGAACATATGTTATTAATTTATAATTGTTCGTGTAACTTAAGGGGTTTTCTTTGTCCTAATACGCTAGGCATGAGCCTGGATTGTTTTTAACATTACTACTAGGCTAGACCTAGGGAGCGTGGAATTATCATTTAGATTAAATCCATTGGTGATTTGTGGGGAGCGAGCTGGTGTAGTGGCTAGAGCGCGGGACTTCGGTCCGTGAGGTCCCGTGTTCGATCCCCGCCAAGTCACCAATGGATTTTATCTAAGTGATAATGCCGCAACCCCTAGGTCTAGCCTGAAATAATGTGAAAAACAATCCCAGGCTCGTGCCTAGCGTCCTAGGACAAAAAAAAAAAAAATTGGTGATTTGTGGAATTTGAAACCGGTACCTCAGGTACTGAAACACTAAACCAGCTCCCTCCTTCAACTTACTCCCCACGTCTTAATTAGGTGACATTCCATTACACATTTCTAAAAAAAAAAAAAAAAAAAAAAAAATACTAATACATAGGTTTGTTCCTCTATTTTTCCTATTTTGCTTGGGCTATTAAGGTAACGAGTTTGAATATCGTAGGCCTCTATAAAGCAAATAACTACAATTTTATTAGAATAATGTTTAACAAACCTCAAAAAAGGACAACATTATTCTGGTAATATGAAAATTAATGTAAAAACAGACCTCGAATAAAATTAACATATCAAAATTGAATACTGTTCCTGTGCTTAATCTCATTGAGGGATTAAACAAATATTTGCTTTACAACTTAAACATTTACATTTACACTGAACCACAATTATGCGTATTTGCCTAACCTTGAACCTCATTGGTCCGTTACTTGTGTTGTTAAGTAAAACAATGCTGTTAAGTAAGTAAACGATGCTGTTGTGAATCTTTTCTAAGAACTGAACTAAAACGGCTAGTTAAAAAACGATCGTAGCTAAAAATACAATGTGTTTACGTTTACTAAGGTGACATGTATTTAACACTTAGCAGCAACTACCCACAAACCATTAGGACCCACGTATTGTTCACTACGCTTAGCGTTGGTCATGTTGGGGGCGGGGGTGATAAATTAGAGGGAGAGTTGACAGTTGAGAGAGCGAGGGTTACCTAGGGAACACCCCAGCGGTGTCCATAAATCACAATAGGGGTCCATTGAAACTTGGGGTTGGAGATATTAACGTTAAAAAGTTTGGGAACTTATCGACAGCGAGTGTTCACTTAGGTTCCGTTTGAACGGTTGAGAAAAATCTGTTTCCTAACATTTTTATATTTAATCGCACACTGAAAGCTTCTTTTCAACTTAAAAAAAATGTATAACACTTGAGTGTGTATGGTAAGGATCGTAGTTGTCGAAAACACTGCCTTATATTTACTAGAATTTAGCAAAGTAAACATTAAATGTATTTTATTAAATTACCGGCATATAAGTGTATTTCTCGACTTAGAAGTTAACCTTGGTTATAAAACAAGTTTTTTTTTAATTTCCAAGCTTTGTAAAAAAATGCTACAATAGACATTTTTTTATGTTCATTATATTTATGAGGGGTTAGCATCAGTTTTAAAGGTGTGATAGTTTCATCATGTAATCATTGGTAAGTAGTAAAATAAATTAAATTTTTAATTCTTCAATGTTGTGCTATACAGTCAATTAGTTTTAAAATAATGAACTAAGCCTATTCAAGAGAAAATAATTCTTTAAAGCAAATGGTTACAAACTTTACTTTTCCTGAATCTAGATAATAGTATAGCAATATTCGCTGTCATTGGGGTTTTTGGGGTGGAAGTCCTGGTTTAAGAAAAATCTCATCAACAACAAAGCTACCAAGTTCATCTCACTCAATTTTACACTCACCAATAAGACCAAATTGTAAAACCCTGAATATCAAGGAAATGTCTTTACTGAGATAACATGTATTTAGCACTTAGCAGCAATATATTTGGTTTAAAGTACGCATCAAGGTTTAAACACTGGCTAAAAACTAATAAATGGTGATGAAATCAACGATAAAGACGCCTCACTAAACAAGTGTCATTGACCCAAGAAAGTAGATATAAAGTTTTACACTTTTATGATAGTGTGTGTTTAATTAATTCATCAGTAAATTTTTTATAGCTGTTTAGGCTCTTGTGGGTTGATTATTAAATAAATATCACAATCGTCATACTGTTTTTGTGAAAGAATTTTTCAGTCATATACTACATTACAAAATAAAAATCAAACGAAAGGGAAAATAAATATCACGATCGTCATACGGTTTTTGTGAAAGATTTTTTTCAGTCTTATACTACATTACAAAATAAAAGTTAAACTAAAGGGAAGCTATCAAAGTATAAGTATACAAAATATAAATTTTTTCCATGTCGAACACTATTAACTTAACATTTTTAAAAATATATTCATTTATCATGGAAAATTACCCCATCATTCTAGTAGATAAAATAAACAGTTTTAAATCAGAACATTATTTTATGGAACTTATTCTGAAATTAGAAAATCTTTTGATTTTTAGAGCTGTGGAAATGCTTATTTTAAAAGTATTTTTTTCGACTTACCGACGACCTCAAGGCGGCCCGAGCCCTGGTCGCTGGAGAAGCTCGGGGCCTCGGCGCTCACCTCACACCTGTACATCGCCGAGGTCTTCAGTGTCACCGTCTTGAGAGTGACTCTGGTGTCGTTGGACTGCTGGTGCTGCAGACAAAACATTTGTCATACACTTCCTAAACGACAAACCGACTTTTCTAGTTCCTGGGACACCTCGCTTTGATGTGAGAGCACACCAAGATTAAGTGTTTTTTCATTGGAAGCAAGACTCTGGATACGGTAGATTTTGACATTACTACAGGCTTTACCTTGAGGATCGTTGTAATATCACATAACAAAGCCAATGGTGTTTGACGGGATTTGAACCCGATACTTTGCGGATGAAAAATTCTGGATCTACCATTACAGTAGCTTGCTCACATGATAAAGCGTAAATAATAGTAAAAGCGTGTGGATAATCTTAGTTGTGTCAATTTTGGATGCCAAATGATTTTCATCCTGTTGAGTCTTACATCTGGTTAGAAGTTTTATGGTTTGGTAACTATCGAGAGCATTTCTTGTTAGGCAAATAATTTACTCTTTGTATTATGTAGTTTCACATTTGCTTACATTTACTCTTCGGTTCAGGAGTCAGTTCACCCAACATATAGATTTTGATATAGTTAATCTACTTTTATAAACAGAATACCTCAGTGCATCCAAGCTTAATCAGACTTAAATATACCTCAAACTTCTCTTCGTATGGATAAAGGTATCTTGTAATGGTTAGTCTAAAGTTTTACCCAACAAAATCACAATATATTTAATACCTAGCAAGTAAAAGCAAAAGAATTCAAAATTATCTTTTTTTTACACAAAATTTTAAGGCGTTAAATCAAAATCGTGAAAAATAAAAAATATTTCACGTTTTATTAAATAAGATAATCCTGCAAAAATTGTAATCAAGTACATCATGATCAATGTAAAACCTTTAAACAAAAATTGATTCCTAATACGAAATGAAAAAAAGAAAAAAAACAACAACACAGAATGAATTTGAAATGAGTAAAAAATTTAGAATACATTTTGAATTAGTATTAAAAATCATATATTTCCACAACTTTTAGTACTCACGTCAATCTTGATCCCCTCCACTCTGTACGATATTTGTGATGGTTTGTACTTAGGCACGTATCTGTAGAATTCTTCGTTCTCCTTATACCACTTGACGGTGTAGAGCTTCTCAAAGCCTTCCAGTTCATAAAGACATTCCAGGACTGCTGATTCTCCCTTCAGTTTGTAAGCTGGTACTCTCACCTGTACCATCTTCAGGCATTGCGACTCTGGTTGGGAAAAGAATTCTTTTAAAATAAAAGGTATTAGCTATCTGACCCACACTTTCTCCTGCTTGTCACAATCCTTGTCATAGGCAAGCGGTGGGAAACACCTTGACCTTATACCTTATACCTTAGACCTTAGACCTTATACGGTTGAAGGGTGGACTTCCGTATCTGTTGGCACAAACAACCGAGTGAAAATATCGATTATTCGATTGTTTCATTCGATATATCGTTTGGTTATTTAGGTTAGGTTAACCTTACCTAACTACCCAACCGATATATAGAATAATCGATAAATCGATCGATATTTTCATTCGGTTTTTTGTGCCAACAGATACGGAAGTCTACCCCAGTAGTACCTTGAATAGAACACTCTCGTGGGGGATCAAATATTATGACTTGTTATCAAGGTCAACTCCTTATAGAGGTTTGCAATAACATGTATTTAAGGGCAATATACAATCAATATTAGTAAATGACACTTGTTATTGAGGGTCTTATTGAGGTTCCACTGTATGATTTTGTATGGAATAAAAAAGTTACAATAATTGCTTTTAAACCGTCATTTTTACACTGTTGAGGGTCGTGCCATTTTGTTTAGAGACAAAAGAAATACTATTTAGTACATTTTTATATAATCGTTTCTATTCTCGTTTGGGGGGGGGGGGGTTGAGAAAATCCCCATTGAAAATAAAAATTTCCAACATCACCTTGCAATATATTTGTAATACGATTTCTTAATTTGGCTTATATAAAACTTTTCGTCTGTTGTCATTTAAAACTAAATAACATCTTAAATATCGTCAGCGTAAACAGCATGTCCCTAGGCAAGTATAAAATAAACTTAAAACAATGCAAGCTATAGTAAAATTAAAATGAAATTGTGAAAGATATCCCAGAACAAATAAAATAACCCAAAGCTTTTTACCCCGCCTTGAAACCAATTCAATTATTGCGATACGCTCGAAAGAGAAGAAATATTATCGCTCTCTAATATTTCAGATTTGTATCCTAAATTCCAAAAAGCGTCTTCTTTCTTTACATTATAGTTTTTTTCTCATTTAATGAATAAATCTGGGACGACTTTGCAATTTGTATGATATAATTTTTTCCATAATACAAAGGGGAGATGTAAAAGGTTGACTAAAATAACTACTACCACAATTGTACTTACTGTGAGGAGCAAAGAGTAGGGCCAAAGCGAGTATTATATAAAAATACTGAAACTCGCATTCCATTTTGTTGGTCTTCACGGTAGTTTCAAAATTTTTTCCAGCATCTTATGGAGTTGTTGCAGCACCTAAAAAGAAAACGAAGATAGAACTATACAGATACACAATTAGTTAATTTCTTATATCCCCTAATGTTACTGAGTCGGTGGCTCAGTCGGTAGCGCCACGGACTTCATCGGGCCCAAGGCTCAAGGCAAGGATGTCATGGGTTCGGATCATAGCCATTGCCACTACTTTTTATCAGTACAGTTCACCCTTTTTCTGTACCGGCTCACCCCTTGCTTTGCTAGATACGCACAGGTTAGCGGTCTATGTGGACAAGCAAATGCAAGGTTAAAAGAAGCCGTTAACCTCTTAAAACAATACTTCGTGTTCAATAAATCCGTGCTTATCATTGATAAAAAAAATCTGATCAAACTATTGTCTGAAAGATTTTTTTTATGATCAACATAACCTAATTTACATAAAAACATTTTAAAAACACAAATTTATCTTTGAACTAATCACTTTTAACTGGATCACATCACATAATATTCTATTCTTCCCTTTAATCCTACAGGACTTTATTTTCAGGGAATGCAGCCATCTCGAGTGTTCTTGGAATGCTGCTGCTTCCCTAAGACATTCCATTCATCCCGAGCATGCTAATCCCAACCCCAATGCAATGGGTAATCTTATTTTAATGCACCCCAATGCTCCGTAGTTTTTATCTAATCACCAATACAATCAACACAGTAAAACGGATTGATAATTGGTTGAAGTGGGATTTCATTTAATTTAATATTGAGTTATAATGTTTTTATATTTTTTAACTTAATTTTGATTGATTAGTTTGAGTGGTTACTAAACATCGAGTACCGAAATATATTAATATTGCCCATATAAATTTATAATTCTTACGGATCAGCTAGAGAAAATTTAAATGTGTGGCTTACATCACTGTTAAAGCATCGTTGATAACCTTCAATTTATTTAATTTTTGTATAACTGTTACTCAAACATACGGATGCAAAATGATAAATTTAAACTTTCACTTATTTTCTAGCAAACTCGTCCTAAAAAGGCACATTTATTTAACAAGTTATTTTACAACAATATCCTAACCAGATAGTGCATAAACAATTATCATGAAGGTGTAGCCATTTTCAAATAGGTATTACGTTACATTCTTTTTCTCTTGTTATTTATGTTACCCACATGAAAACTTGTCGAATGGATTTGGAATTAGAATTTAATTATATGCAAATAGGTACAGTGAATTAATTTAAGGTGTATGGTCATAGGAGCAAAGCATGGTGGCTTTTATAATCTTAAAAACACAATAAATGTCATAATAAAGGATGAAAAATTCAGTGTTTAATATGAAGAACAGATACAGTAATACTAAAAACAATATATTTATATATTACTTTAAAATACTACCAGGTATACCATCGTATACTGTTTAAAAATATCGAAGCTTCTATCAGAGAATTTATTCAATTTCAGAACACATGTTTTAATTGGACAAGTAAAAAATCTACGAGCTTAAACGGACGTTCAGTCACTAAATACTAAATAGTCAAAGCGAACAATTATTATAAACATCGTAGCGCCTACTTTAGACCCTTGTGTAACTCCATAAATCGATTGCAACGTTCGTGCGTTCACGTGAACGGCATCAGTAAAAGCCGCTGTAAAATTTTATAATCTGTGTAAAGTTCCTTTAAATGACCGCAACATGTAAATCACGTGACCCTTGACGTTGCACGCGATCACGTGATTTTACGCGGGAAACCTTGCACCTTGGCGGGAACTACATGACCGCATCTATCGATGTGATCCGATAGAAAATGGGGTAGACTCATTACATTAATAGTTTACAGGTTACGTTATGTTTTTTGTCCTGTAGTTTTAGTTAAGTAGGTGAAAAAGTATAACTAAACGAATGTTTCTTTTTTACGATTAGAGTTAGTTTGCAAGGATTTTTTTTGTCCTAGAGACGCTACGCACGAGCCCGGAATGGTTTTTCACATTACTTCAGGCTAGACCTAGAGTTTGCGTGCATTGGTGATTTAGCGGGATTTGAACCCGGGACCTCTGGATCCGAAGTCCCGCGCTCCTAACCACTACACAAGCTCGCTTCCCCAGTTTGTAAGGAATAATCAAAGAATAATAAAATAAGCAAATACATCAATTAGGATACGATAAACCATTGCAAATAAATTCGAATATAATTATTTATCTTGATATGCAAATTTTGATTTATAGTAAGACAGGAATAAATTTCAAAGAAGTCCGCAAAAAAGGTACTATCTTAATAAAAGCCTATTTTATACTCAACAACAAAAAAGTTAATAGCGTTGACTTTGTGTATATATTTATTTATTTATTTGTAAACGGTTGCACCATTTTTACAGAAAAATACAATTATTGTCTTACAGAAAAAAGAAAACAAAAATCACAGGCCAGTACAAAAGTAGTGAAAAAAAAACTGGAAAACAGGACTTCAATAACAAGACATAAAAGATAAATAACAACTATAAATAACAAACTATAAATAACAAACTATAAATAACAAACTATAAGTATATTGTGTAAGTATAAGTATAAGTATATGGTTTTATTTAGCCCTAATAAATACAGCGATAACAAATTTATTGTTATTGTTACTATTTCTGTTAATGACCCATTTTTTTCTCCACTTTATAGTCAAGCCATTTTGTTTTATAAGCAAAGAAGAGTGTGCTATGTCTTCCTACTGAAAATTCAAAAGAACGAATTTTTTGTATTCTTCTAATAACACCCCTGATTTCAAGAGTTTATTTACTCTATGCTTATAGCAACTTAAAACACTGTTATTGTCCACTGAATCCTCATCATCACTGAACATTCCTCTTTCCAAATTCTGCAGACATGATCAAGGTTCATTATCATGGCAATGTGTTAGCATTATTACAATTCCAACATGATTCCGAGAAAGTTAGTTTCGCCTCTCAAGAGATCTACACGCATATGTTCATGTTAAACACAGAAGGTCGACTGGTTAATGAAATATGCGATACACGATCCCGTAGGGGCCTGAACTCTCGGAAATATATATTCTTGGCATATTGTATGTTGCTGAGCAGAAACAATTCCTCAACTCGGTTGGAGGTTGTAAATTAAAGCTCACAGTATTGTTTTTAAGTTGTATTTAACCAAATAATCTGTTTCCAAAACTAATTTGCTAGTTTTTGCCTTTGCTACAGTGTTGCAAGTTTTTATTTTTCAACATAAACTTATTAAGGTTATTTAAAAATACTATTTTAGAGTAATTAGTATTTACAATATTTTCTAAAGTAACAAAAACCATATTTGATTTTAACAGTAAAAACTACATAAAATGGCTAAATCGATTCAATCTTACTAATTAAAAACAATCACGGTTACATAGGGTTAGTAAAAAGTGTGGAGACCCCCTGTTATTTTTTTAACAGCCCATACTAGAAAAACCAAACTCGACACACCTTTATAACATGTTATGAAGTACTTTTTGAACATAACCGTCACTTGGTGTACATCCCCAAAACGGGGGATTTTGGGGGAAACTCAAAAATTTCAAATACAAAGACCCATCGAGTGACCCCTCATTTTGAAGGTCCTGGTAAAAGAAAACCAACAACGCAAACTAGAGGTCTTTATCTCAATCCAGTAAAAAATGGCAGCCAATTGAAATTTTCAGAAGTTAAATTTAACTTACGGCTTTCCAAGTCTGGAGACCCGCTGTAAATTTTTTAGCGGCTCGAACTAGGATAACTAAACTCTACACACCTTTTTGGCATGTTACGAAGTATTTTTTAAGCCTAATAGCCACTTGCTTACCAAACTCAAAATGGGGGATTTTGGGGGAAACTCAAAAGTTTTAAATGATAAGCCCCATCGAGTGACCCCTCATTTTGAAGGTCCTGGTAAAAGAAAACTAACAATGCAAGCTAGAGGTTTCTATCTCAATCCAGTAAAAAATGGAAGCTGATTGAAATCTTTATAAATCGAAAATAACTTGCAATTTTATATTCATTTGACTGCCATATTTTACTGCGTTAAGATAGAGACCTACAGTTTGCGTTGTTAGTTTTATTTTATTATGACCTTCAAAATGAGGGGTCACTCGATGGGTCTTTGTATTTGAAATTTTTGAGTTTCCCCCAAAATCCCCCATTTTGGGTTTGGGAACTTATGAGAATTTCAATTGGCTGCCATTTTGTACTGAACTGAGATAGAGACCTCTAATTTGCGTTGTTGGTTTTCTTTTACCAGGACCTTCGAAATGAGGGGTCACTCGATGGGTCTTTGTATTTGAAATTTTTGAGTTTCCCCCAAAAATCCCCCATTTTGGGTTTGGGAACTTATGAGAATTTCAATTGGCTGCCATTTTGTACTGAACTGAGATAGAGACCTCTAATTTGCGTTGTTGGTTTTCTTTTACCAGGACCTTCGAAATGAGGGGTCACTCGATGGGTCTTTGTATTTGAAATTTTTGAGTTTTTCCCAAAATCTCCCATTTTGGGGATGTACACCAAGTGACGCTTATGCCCAAAAAGTACTTCATAACATGTCATAAAGGTGTGCCGAGTTTGGTTTTTCTAGTATGGGTTGTTAAAAAAATAACAGGGGGTCTCCACACTTTTTACTAACCCTGTATATTCAACTGTTTAAATTATATGCAAATTTTGTGTAATGTGTGCTTCAAATTGATAGAAAGCTATTTAAATGTTGAAAGTTGTAAATTGTTTCCCCATTAAAATTATCCTACATCTCTTTTGCATTTAGGCCTATAGTATTTTTATATCCAGCTCGACACATACATGAATTCTTTTATAAACACCATGTACATATAATAATTTAAGTTTAATCATCTCAAAAGTTGGTAAATATTTGTTTCTATGGAAATAATTTATGTCTGAAATTAAATTTCTATCAAAAAAATTTATTGGTTGTTCAATATTTCAGTCATGGGATCCTGCATGTCAGAGTGAGTTTAGAAGAGCAAGATCAAGTAACACAGTTTTTTGGAATGCGTGACAGTAAAAGATTTTTTCCTTTGTCAGCCCTTTACTCCAATCAGAAATCTTGGAGAGGACAACTAAAACAACCAAATGAAGACTCCGAAGAATGATGAGAGTTTATGGAATCATTCAGAGATTTGATGTTGTAATCGCAAGATGATGTTCTTCAGAGGAATTTCCAAATGCCAATAGAGTTGTGGCAAACTAAGTGGGGAATCAGATGAAACCTGCATAGAAAAAGAAGAATGGACATTTATGCACGATGGAAAAGGTTATGGATCATCTGAGAACTTCAAGAGGAAGACGCTTAAGAGTACAACTGCAAGATCTGCCTGAGGATGAGATACAGCAGAAAATGAAGGACAAGGCCTTCAGGAATGCGGAGGAAGAAAATGTAGAATATGATTTAGGATGGACTTAGCATTAAGTGTCTAAAATATCGTATGTAGTTATTATTAAGTCACTTATGTATCTAGTATTAGGTATTGTTGTAGTAATATTAGTCTGACCAAGTGAGGTAGCATTACGCTATTTCACATTCGGCAGGTCTGACTATCAGGCCGACCACTCCGAGGGAAATTAGTACGGTTTCTTTCCTCTTAGGTGAATGCCGGAATGGTTCCCTCAAGGGCCGTACCTCGCCAGACAGAATGGAAGAAATGGACTCCGTCCTAATTCTGTTTGGTTAAAGAAAATCCACCAAGTAAATGATCGTAATAAACATAATATTTTCCCTTTTTATGTTTTTTGTAATGTTTATACTAGGAACCATGAGATCTGCAGTTAAGGGGCAGCCAATACAAAGACTGCACTAGCGCGTCGTTACAACACCCGTTCACTACTTTTCGACACTAATTAAAATAATGAACAATATTTTCAGATCAGCTGGTATTATTAGATTTGGCAACACCACACTGTCCTCATTGGCTCCTTCAAGGTCAAGTGGTAAATAGGCTCCTCCCTCAATTGCAGATTCTCGTGGACCGTACTGTAGAGTGTAGACTTCTCTTCCCATTGTAAATTTTGAAGCTTTTTTTCGTGTCTAGTTCATGTCCGGTAACATTGGTCGCAATTGTGAAAGAATTTTTCTTTCATTATTTTAGGGATAATTTCACGATTTGTACTTACTGTTCACCACCACCATCACACCATCACACACCATCACTACAGTACACCGGACAGAACTAACAATAAAATTGGATTTAGCTGTTCCACGAGGATGAGAAATCTAAAAGGTCAATGCTTACTTACAAGCAGAACGGATGACAGGACTTGTTGTTAATTCAGCTTGGTTAAAACCCCCTAAAAAGATGATAGTTGGGAATTGAAAGAAAACCAGGAAACCTATAATTTCACTTTAGCGTTCTTTTTTAGCGAATTTCCCATATAGGGAATAAGCTATTACCGTAGTACTCATGGTAAGACCTGGACGCGGGACCGATTTTTTTTTTCGTTTTGAGGTCCCTAGAGGCCAAAAACACCATCCGTTCAAATTCATATATATATATATATATATATATATATATATATATATGTGTCCGTTAGCACGATAACTCGAGCAAAAATGATCCGATTTTGATGAAATTTGGTACAAACGTGTAAACCTACGTTTATTCGAACGAGTTCGCGATCCAGCATGATCAGACCATGGGAACGGGGGTTTACGGGGGGTTTTATGGGGTAAAAATAGGTTTTTCCCATTTTTGACAAAAAAAAACATAAAATTTAACAATTTCTTTCCAAACCATTTTGTAGAGCTTAAAAAAAACAAATAATTTAGTATATTGAAGCGTTATTATGCGCCTAATGGTTACGGAGAAAATTCAAAAAAATTGTAAATTTAAAATTCCCATGTTATTCTTATGGAGAATAAGTAAACTGTTGAAGTTTGCTTGTTTATGAACATATTTTGATCAAATTTGGAAAACGTTTTTATTTCTTACTAACTATTAACATTTTACAAAAAAACAGTTTTACCCTCCCTGATGCAGCAAACCTAAGTACTTGTTAAACTAATTCTATTTAAATCGGGAATAAATGTTATAATTTTAAGTAGACATTTCAGTGTAAATCAAATCAGTCAAATGGAAATTCGCTTAGTCTGCAGGTTTGCTGCGGCGGGGGTATTTAGATTTTGTGTAGTTTATTATATATAATTTCATGTTATTTTAATTTCTACCGACGAAACCACAGATACAAATTTGAAAAATTATTTAAAATAAACATTTAAATAGTCTTAAGAGTTTTCAGGAGTTTAAAATAACATTTCGAGGTAACAAAAATACTGTCCGTTTTCTCTATAAAATTACTATTCTTCGTATAAATTAAGTATGGATAAATTCAATCTCTACTAATAGATTGTATGGTTCTACGTGTAGGTAGGTATATATTGTAATCCCTCCAAATCAAAAACTAATATTTTTATAAGTAATAGGCTAATAATTAACTAGCTACACTCTGATAGGAAACAAATTGAATAAAAACTTAACTGTTAACTGTCGAGAAGTTAGAAGCTTTTTGATGGTTAAAAGCTGGAACAAGCTGTCCTAAATCAATAAATGATAAAAGCTAAGAACAAGCTTATTTAGTTAGTTATGAAGGTCATATTAATGAAATTTACCCCTCGTAAAATATGCACCGAAAATCACTATAAAAATATTACAAAATAAAAATTGTAAATGCCTAAAATATTTCCTCAGTTTTTCTTTGTACATACTAAGTTTAGTAAACCATCGTTGAAATCCATATTCTTATAAACTCTACGTATCTTGCAACATATGGTAAAATTTAAGATTTTCTGGAATTTTTTATAAAATATTTAAAAATCACCATTTAGCCACCATTTTGTAACAATTTAAGAGGTTTATCTTCATTTTCCACAATGATAGCTGCTAAAAAGATTTTTGCACGATTTTAACGCTGTTGCTGAAATCATTAAGGGAGTAGGGATTTATGAATGTTTTTGGAAAACACATAAAGACGCACGAAAGCAAAACCCTATAAGACATTTATTTAAACAAAACAAACAGGGTGATTGGTACTCAGTGTGACAAAATTTTTTTGGTGTAAGTACAAAGTAAATGCAAAGATGATGCATATAACAGGTTTCAAGTCTAAAAATTAACTTCCCAAAGAATTATTTTATGTTTTTCAAAGATATCTATGTTTTTAAACTCAACACAGCGATTTCTCAACTACCTGTATATGGATTTGAGAAGATAATGTCATTTTCCTATTCTACATTAAGTTTTGAATAAAAATAATAGAAAATGACGGAGGATCAGATGTAAAAACTCCATTTTAAATAGATTCAAAGATAAAAATTAAGATGTTTGATAAAAATTTAAAAAAACAATGGTCTATTACATTTTTCACACCCTGTATACAAGAATGTGTCGGAATATGTTAAATACTGCCCCATTTTATAAGCTTTCCAACCATACGCTACACTATTGAGGTTTAGATATGTTTTTGTTTGTTTTAGTGGTTTGAATACCAGAAAACAGGGAACTTTTTTACTGTTTTTACTGTTCAAGCTGAAACAAAAATACAACTTTTGCTTACAACTTTTACATGCCGACTTTCTATGTTTTAAATGTTGAAGACACCATGCTTTGTAGTCTTCAAACCACTAAAGCGTACATAGGCAGACATAAAGCTCAATGTGGTGTAGTAGTTTGTTATTAAAAGACTAATATTTTTTGGGGATTTTTCTCATCGATGCCTTTAATTTAAGTAGGGGGTTGATAGGTGTGTGGCTTACGGGGTTTTCCAAAGTTCTTGTGCCTTATTATGTTTTTATAAAGGTGGCATATAATAAAACTATAATCAATCTTGCTCAAGAACAAACCAGAAACCTCCATAGCAAAGACAAACTATTATATATATGTATATATATTGTGTATACCTATCTACACCTGTGGATTTTTTTCGATTTTTGTAAGGGTCTAAATTTATTTTGTTACCATCCAACCTTGTTAATAATTTTCCAATTTTATAAATAGAATGTTTAAATTCAAGATTTTAATATTATTTGAATTGGGAAAATATTAATTCAATCAAATGTATTCATAGCATTATCTACTACTAACCATTTTTCAGTAGTATCATTAATTTACAGTGCATTGACAAATTAATGACACCTGGGTCCAGTTACGATCTTTCTTGGAATCAAACCAACTAAAACAATTTAAATATGATCATAATACAACACTTTCGGTTTTATTAAAAAGTGTGTATATTATATCAAACAAATTAGGACACCTAGGACGTTTAGACACGACTGTGTCTTTAAGAGGAATGTCCTTTATTTTGCTAGATGTTTCAATGATAGATTTTCATTATTTTACTGGTCACTAAGATATGCGGTTTTACTATTCAAATTGATTTATTTCTGTATAAAGACAACTAAATCTAATTCTATAAATTGCTGTATATAAACATAATGGTTCAAATCAGTGCCAACATTCCTTGTTACCAAAATAGAAGTTATAACACTAAACAATTACATGTTGTAATTCCAACTTTATATTTGGTCGTAGTGACCACAGATTTAACATTTTTAGTTTTACACTGTTATGTCTTTACTGACTATTTATTTAATGTTGTAAGATACAGAAAAGTAATTGCTGATTCTATTAAATCTGCAGCTTCCCTCAAATCGTGTCTAAATTTTTACGCAATAAATGCTGTTATAAAGTAAATGATTTTTTCTGCTGACTCTTGTAAAGAATTATTAAGATCTTTGTTTTTTCACGATTCATGTATATTGTGTACACAATGAATAAAGAAAAATTTGATTGATAGGTTGATTGATAATATACCTTAAGTTTTTAAGTATTTAGTATGCAATTCCACTTACATATTTCGTTATCAGTTATCAAAAGATCGCAAGCGTTGGATGCCACATGATGTACACGATGGTACAGCCACAGCGCGCACAATTTACTGAAAGATGAATCCACATGGTCCGGTTAGAAGCATTGTTGACGCATGCGCAAACCACCCCCTCCCCTTAAACACTCTGCCCTTAAACACAAACTGGTGAACACTAGTGTTTACTTATTGGTTTTTAAAGTAATTGTGTCATTTGTACTAGTGATAATTTCCAACTAAGGAATTTGTACAGTTTCATTTACAATTTACCATCGATGTCTTCTCCGCCGTCCTCGTAGACAGGGGAATCGTCAATTTCTTGTGAATGTGTATGTGAGTGAGAGTGTAATTGAGCATTGCTTTCCTATTTGTTGTTTAGGTTATATTTGTGTTCATTAATAAAGTCAGTTAATTTATAATATGGTCATTCAAAGAGAGTATTTCAATTATTCCCTGTTAAAATTGTTCGACTACTGCTAGATGGAATTCGAGCTGGTTAGTAGTAAGGCGTGGGACTTCGTTCCCTGAGGTTCTGGGTTCCAATCCCACCTAATTACCAATGGTTTTTTAAAGGTGATAATGCAGCAGCCCTTAGGTCTAGCCTGAAGTAATGCGAAATCGAGCCCGGGGCTAGTGCCTAGCGTCCTAGAACAATAATTTCTTAGATATCATTTTTTATTTAAACATTTGCAAGTAAAATTTTGAGCTTTTAATGGTTGTGTAACTGTGCAATATACGAGTATTTTATAAGCTAGAGTTTTTTTTATAATTTAATTTACTATTCTTGTCTTCTAATTTACTTTTGCCAATAATATTTCCCTACTGGGTCAAGAATCTTTTTATTGGCATCCATTTCCATAAACCATTTATACGTAATAAAACAAAGTAAGTAAAATTGATTTCTCCTTCTTATCATGTGACTTGTATGAGTTATTTATATTTTTAAGATTGTAACCACATAACGTCCCTTTTCCAGCCTTCATACTTAACAGATTTTTAGAATTGATATGACATTTTATAGCTTATGATCTAGCGAATATGCAAATGGTAACTAAAAAAGTAATTTCCCTAAGACCTTCACCCCCTCACCTTTTAATTTATTTCTAGGGTCAACTTTTATGGATCCAGTTGTTATGCTAGTCCACTTTCTTTATAATGGTTTAAATGTGAATTGTAATTTAACTGGTGTCCTTTCGGTTGAATTTTTAACCACAGGCAGATTGTAAGCAAGAGACGAACCCATTTTATGAAAATGTATTTTGAATATTCTACTTTTTCGTCAACGGTGAACTGATTGAATTAGGTAAATCCCTCATTATAGTGTAGATCTAAAATAAAAAAAAAACTGAGTTAGTGGATATATTCACCTAATAACTGTGCTAAGCAGACAAAATCTTGAAAAAGTAAATTGGTATTGCGCTGCATTCAATTTTCCAAGAAAACAAATGTTGGACCCTATTAAACTCCGCGATTTGAGAGCGGACCCTCTCGTTTACTATTAATGCATACTAAAACAAATAGAATTTGGTCTTTAAAGGCTTCTTCAGGGATTGTAGAAGTCTTTTAAGAAATTCAATGCTGGAATCAAGTGAACTGAGAAGGTTTCATGGGGCACAGTTTCTTGGGGCTTCATTTAAGTATCTAATAGTTATAAATATACAATGCTTTGGGCACCTGACCCCACAAACACCTTACAAGAAAAACAATACGATTTGCTATCAGATTCGGTAAAATCTCGACAGTTTTGGAAATTGCGTGCCTTTTCGAGCTATGAAACAGTAGTCCAGGCTCTAAACAGTTTGAGTATGCACTGAAAGTCTGACAAAATTTGACTTTTGATTATTGTTGGGGACATCTAGTAGATGAAAAAAATCGATGATGTCGCATTTCTAGGGTGGTCACAACTCGGGGGGGGGAGGGGGGGAAGTTGCGCGGGTCATCGGTTTACGTTTCCGCGTCTAACTCACAAACGGTTAATGATAGAAAGGTGGTTTAAGCGTCTATCTACGCCTAAATATATTGTCTTTTAAAAAAATTATTACAACCTTTCTTCTATCTCTGATACTTTAGGCGCTAATCAACATTTATTGCAAAAAATAAAATTTAAAAATACTTTAAAATGAAATATCGGAAATATTGCGCTTGTTTAGGGCATGTTACAAACTATTTATGGTTAGAAAAACTAACAAGTAGTACAAAAACACCAAGTTTAAAGAAATCTGTGCAAAAACAACAGAGCTACGTTGATTTCAGTAAGAGTAAACGTGGAAAATTCGTAGTGGTATCGAGGCGCGCATGGATGGTACGTAGCCCACAGTCAATATAGGTTTGATGTTGTAAGTAACTATGGGAAAGCTGAATTTTTCTATGCTGTTAGACCATGTTGAGATGATCATTTTCCCGAAAGTCAACACTTCTCCCCCCTTGTGCTTTCCTCTAACCCCCCTTTTTAGATAAATTTACAGTCTCTTAGAAATTAAGCTATAACTTTAAAACGGGTAAGGATAATAACGCAATTTTTTTTAATCATTTTGCGTTACGATATTCTACAAAAAGTGTATTTACCATGGTACCCTAAATATTCATAGTTAAAAAATATCATAAACATAAAAAAATAATTTTTATGGATTAATTTATGAAACTTTTCTTTGTAGATTTTTTATACGAGGTCGCACAACAAAATATTTGATATAAAATTTGGGGTGCATAGTTTACATTTTAAAATAATACATAGTTATTAACAGTTTGTTTACATATAGTGGTTATAGATAGTACAGTATATTGATTTTACAGGACTCTGGCTTTTTTTTGCACCGCAACAATGAAAAAAATACGTATATTATAGTTTTTGTATTTGAATTTGCCGCTTATATAGATTATATTAACGTTATGTAGCTCATTCAGTACATATACAGACTGTAGTGGATAAATATGAATGAATATCATGCATTTGCTGCTGTACGCCAGAGCCTCATTTTATTATACAGGGTGTCTCACCTAAAGTGAAGCAATAGATAACTTTTTATTATGAGATTTAGAGTTAACTTCTTATAGGACATTACCCTTTATTTTAAGATGTTTTTTAGTGGTTTCGAATTTTAAAAATTGTTCGCCATTTTCCAATATGGCTGACAACTTTGTTAGTCCTATGGAATACCCTGTATTTTATGATTGTTTTAGAATGTAAAAGCACAATTTGTAAACCTTTTTATTCTTGACACTTTTCTCTAAAGCTACTTGTTTAGGAGTTACATCGTGTTACATCGAAGAAGAAATGGTTTGTGAGTACATCCTGCATCCTGTAGCTCATAAACGAGTAAGTTTAAGAGCGAAAATACAAAGAATAACCAAAGAATAAGTTACCATCCAACCTTGTTAATAATTTTCCAATTTTATAAATAGAATGTTTAAATTCAAGATTTTAATATTATTTGAATTGGGAAAATATTAATTCAATCAAATGTATTCATAGCATTATCTACTACTAACCATTTTTCAGTAGTATCATTAATTTACAGTGCATTGACAAATTAATGACACCTGGGTCCAGTTACGATCTTTCTTGGAATCAAACCAACTAAAACAATTTAAATATGATCATAATACAACACTTTCGGTTTTATTAAAAAGTGTGTATATTATATCAAACAAATTAGGACACCTAGGACGTTTAGACACGACTGTGTCTTTAAGAGGAATGTCCTTTATTTTGCTAGATGTTTCAATGATAGATTTTCATTATTTTACTGGTCACTAAGATATGCGGTTTTACTATTCAAATTGATTTATTTCTGTATAAAGACAACTAAATCTAATTCTATAAATTGCTGTATATAAACATAATGGTTCAAATCAGTGCCAACATTCCTTGTTACCAAAATAGAAGTTATAACACTAAACAATTACATGTTGTAATTCCAACTTTATATTTGGTCGTAGTGACCACAGATTTAACATTTTTAGTTTTACACTGTTATGTCTTTACTGACTATTTATTTAATGTTGTAAGATACAGAAAAGTAATTGCTGATTCTATTAAATCTGCAGCTTCCCTCAAATCGTGTCTAAATTTTTACGCAATAAATGCTGTTATAAAGTAAATGATTTTTTCTGCTGACTCTTGTAAAGAATTATTAAGATCTTTGTTTTTTCACGATTCATGTATATTGTGTACACAATGAATAAAGAAAAATTTGATTGATAGGTTGATTGATAATATACCTTAAGTTTTTAAGTATTTAGTATGCAATTCCACTTACATATTTCGTTATCAGTTATCAAAAGATCGCAAGCGTTGGATGCCACATGATGTACACGATGGTACAGCCACAGCGCGCACAATTTACTGAAAGATGAATCCACATGGTCCGGTTAGAAGCATTGTTGACGCATGCGCAAACCACCCCCTCCCCTTAAACACTCTGCCCTTAAACACAAACTGGTGAACACTAGTGTTTACTTATTGGTTTTTAAAGTAATTGTGTCATTTGTACTAGTGATAATTTCCAACTAAGGAATTTGTACAGTTTCATTTACAATTTACCATCGATGTCTTCTCCGCCGTCCTCGTAGACAGGGGAATCGTCAATTTCTTGTGAATGTGTATGTGAGTGAGAGTGTAATTGAGCATTGCTTTCCTATTTGTTGTTTAGGTTATATTTGTGTTCATTAATAAAGTCAGTTAATTTATAATATGGTCATTCAAAGAGAGTATTTCAATTATTCCCTGTTAAAATTGTTCGACTACTGCTAGATGGAATTCGAGCTGGTTAGTAGTAAGGCGTGGGACTTCGTTCCCTGAGGTTCTGGGTTCCAATCCCACCTAATTACCAATGGTTTTTTAAAGGTGATAATGCAGCAGCCCTTAGGTCTAGCCTGAAGTAATGCGAAATCGAGCCCGGGGCTAGTGCCTAGCGTCCTAGAACAATAATTTCTTAGATATCATTTTTTATTTAAACATTTGCAAGTAAAATTTTGAGCTTTTAATGGTTGTGTAACTGTGCAATATACGAGTATTTTATAAGCTAGAGTTTTTTTTATAATTTAATTTACTATTCTTGT